GATGTGCAGACTGACATCCTTCGACAACATACCCTTCAAACTTTGTAATCTACGGTTTGCTACTTCATAGTTATCCACTTTCATATCTGGACTCTTTTTCCAAGGTATAGAAACTACAAAATGACCGTTGCCGAAGCGCGTGCCACCTTCCACAATCTTTATAGCCACCTTGTCGTCTACTGATGATGATTTATCACTTGAATAAGCATCTGAAAACTCTACGTCATAAGGCTTACGTATTTCGTTCTCTAATGTCTGTATCTTACTGGTATGATTAACAACTCTTTTCCTATATTCCGGGCATGATGGCTTATCATTTACGACGTTGCTTGTCGAGTCAGTGTGCAGCAGAGCGTGATGTCTCCTCTCGCAACTGTCAACCTTACAGAGCCTTGTCATCTTACATTCATTAACCTTATGTCCTTGTCTAAGACAGACGAAACATATACCCTTGCTTTTAGCGTGAGATCATCGGTCTTGATCTGTAAGCGCTAAGAACTGTGGACATTTATCAATGGCATGGTCATACGAACACATACTGCATTTAGTTTTCATTGTCGAACTATTCCCTTGCTCTGAATGCACGTGACAGTTCGTCTTTACGTTATGTCCTTTTCTAGAACGGTTTGCTAACCGTCCAAATCTTCTACAAGCCACTCTCGCACACGATGCGATAAACTGAGTGAGCTCGTCGAAGGTCGGTTCCCTGTTATCTTCAGTCAATTTATCCACCCAGTCCGCCCACTGGGCTTGCATAGGTTGAGGCAAGAGTCTCACTATTCTTTCCAAGGTAACTAAGGAATTTAGATCAGAAGTATAATTCATCTGCTCCAAGACCATGGCACAGTTTTCCATCTTAATAGCCAAATTTGATAGTTGGTCCCCGTCAATATACTCAAAATTCACAGCACTGAATAAGTCCTCTAGTGTTTCTCGAGCAATTACGTGAGACTGTCCGAAAAAACGTTTTAAAATCTCCCTTGCTCTTTTATAGCCAGAGGATGCCTCCATCATGACGCAACCTTCAATAGCTGTTTTAGCCTTGCCCTTACAGTAGTGTATCAAATAGAGTAAGCGCTGGCTATCATCCGTGACTCTTGACGCTACATACGTCTCAAATTGCCTTATAAATTTCCAATAACCTCTTGGCTCTCCATCGAAATAACTCAGTTCAACCTTTGGTAGCTCTGGGCCAACAACATGGACTATAGGCGACATGCTCTTTCCTAGTAATTCAGGCCTTTGCTCCTCCTTTAAACTAAGATTTTTTACATCATCTGACATCGAATTAAGGCTAGAATCACTGCCATGATAATTAACCCTATTTAAGTCTGAACCATGACCCTTAAGGACGTCAAAAGGCACTTGCTTGACAATAGGGGATTCTTCGTTAACATCGACGAACTTTGAGCCTGATCTCCTTCGACGATTAACTGGCATTATAAGCGACACGACCAATTATTTCCAGAAAATCCGTGAACGATTACCAAAAAATTTCGGCCAAGTAATACTTGTTTAGAACTGTAGGATCCAAACTACGGTTTGAATGTTGAAGAATAGCCGACCAGGGATTTTAGACACGCGCCCTTTCCCGTCGAAATCAGAACAAGTAATCGGGTAACTAGCGGTTCTAAACAAATATTATCACCTGGCTATTCAACCAATGATTGTCCAATCAATTAAATCAATCACAAAAAATCAACGTTATTCTATCCTGGCTGGATAGATCACACACAACAGGAGGAACAAATCAATATAGCTACCGCCAAGAACAAGTGTCAAGTAAAACAACGCAGATGCAGTTCAGGAAGAAACACAAACTTAGTGAATGCGTAATAAAAACAAAAACTATAACAAAAATACGAATATTAACAATTCAAATGTAATCAAAATACAACAATGTACAACTAATGCGATCAATAGGAATAAAGTACAAGTGTATACATGGAGGGATTTTCACCAACACATAAAACCTTCAAAATGGATCTTACAGCTTTTACAAATATATATCCGTTTAACATCGTTTTTATTACTTGTTTAGTATGGTCTTCACCACTTCATTCGCAAATAAGATACATATTAGACGTCTATGTTGATATCTTATCAAGCAGTTTATAGATGAGACAGATAATTATGCACACGTCAAAATACTTGGTAAATCTTGTAAAATCTATACAATGCATATCGGTTACTAAACGTGAAAACTTAAAACTACGATCATCATACAAGTAGCTGTCCTAAAATGTAACAATAAAAATCACACTATGGTATACCGTCGCGAAGAAATCGCAGTATTTAATCGGAAACGAATGCATAAAAACATATTCGGATGTCGATTTACCCTAGACGAAACATATTTCTGAGTATTCATCCTCATGTTTGTGCAAAAATATGAATTCGCAATGTGGATAAAACACTTCATTTTTATATAGAAAATCTTGGTATTGCCGGACTTCTTTTAAAATGACTTAAGGATTCCCTAGTAGGTTGTAGACAGAATGTAGGAGTAAATCGAAGAACTCACCTGGGAACCAGTATTTATTGGAGTAACTGTGATAATTAGGAGTGCTCGAATTATAATATAAACTAAGAATCCCAGAAATAACGCAATTGAATCAACAAATGTTTTGTATTTGAAATTCGAAATCAAGCATTTGAGAAGTACAAAAGATTCATTAGTTTATTCAAACACCACAGTACTACAAGATTCTGTGCCAGGTTCTTTACTTTTTATACCACTTCTCAAGTATAGTTGAGTCCCAAGTGTTATTGCACGGTGGTGATGTATAAATCTGGCGGTAAATCAATAGGGGACGCAGATGCCTGCACAATTCATGCACACTTAAATAGTGTGGTTAACTGTTCTGAAGAGTGGCTGATGCCCATCAACGCTGCAAACTGTGTCTGTATGAACATTGGGTAAATAAGCACAGCGTAGGGGAAGTGTCTGTACCCGTGATCTGGTCTCACAGTGATCAGGGGATGACAGTGAGTCATGATATTTAGACCGGGAAGCTGCATCTAAGGGGTTTAGAACCCTATGGGCTATAAGACAAACACTCGCCAAGTTAGATACTACCAGGTTCACCGCAGTATGCACAACCTTAGTGAGAACTAAGTTTGAGAACTGCTTTCGGAATGCAAGCCCCTCTTTAAAAAGTGACTCAGATATCCTGGAAAAGGTACAGAGGGCGGCTACCCGTACATTTCCAGAACTCCGGGGTTTACCATACAAAGTGCTTCTTAAAAGTTTGACCACATTTCTCTGTCCTATCGCAGCTTAAGAGGTAATCCGTTTTTAATGCATAGAATACTAAGAAGTGATTTTGAACCCAATATATCCTCTCTTTTTTATTATAACTAGGTCGGAACATCTCGAAGGATAGAGATGGGGAATACAAAAGCCAAGAACGAACAAAACACCTGTGGCATTTAGGTTTTAACACGGAGTAGGCGAGACTATAATTTACGGATGGCCTTGGAACGAATCTGTATGACCTTGAGAAATATTAGCCAGTCAGCAAACAGTCACCATAGAGTAAAAATGTATTACACAAAAGCAAAGAAATAAAGTGGATACATTTATTATACATGGTTCAAAAACCTGTCAAAGTAAAAAAGAGGTTCAGAAGTTCTAAAATCGTAATCCGTGCAGTAGAGGAAATCATCCATATGGCTACAGAATAGTCGGTCTCTGGAACCATGATAAGGTCACAAAAGCTATTTCAGCCTCGACCACATAGCTCCAATATTGTTTGTGGGCACTTCAGCTGTTGAGTGCACAAAATGCCACTTGTGGATAACAACACGATGCACATGACCAAGTCTACGCATGAGTCTGTACGCTCTGCAATTATCCGTATGTATTGTAGTACCTGGCTGCAGCCAGTGTTACGAGTGCTTTTATTATTCAGTTCGCAATAACTGTAATAATTTGCCATATTTAGGAATTATGTACGGGGGTTTCACCGCGAACTGACATCAGCTATAATATTATAGCTTATGGTATATGTCAAAACTCTATTTAACCAAATGGATGAAAGACTTTCGTGCCAAAATCCGAAATCTGTTATCTTATATCTGATTGTTTCTTCCACAAATTATAGTCTCGCCATTTTATTGGTTACAGCTGCCCAATTATCACGTTTTGCATGAAATCCCCTGTGAACGTTAGCATTATGTTGTAGCGGTAAATAAATCCCCAAAATAAATAGCTCTGTAAGTTTTCAGCATTGGATGCTGACCAAATTAGTTTTAATGAACTCGCCTAGCTGAAGGCGCTCGGTCATGCATCGGCACCAGATCACGAGTGGGAACGCCGTGCCCAACAACACCTGCAATCGCTGGCCAGATTTGATCAGACGATCATCGATATATTGATAGCCTATCAAATATATCTTCGAACCTTCTCGCTTCTGTCTTTTGATTTCACTTGGTGGGTAAGATTCATATTAGGTGTTACGGGTTAAAGCGTTGTCAAACTCCGAGTACCTTTGGCATCTTCGATGTACTGAAGTTGGCGCCGTGACCTTGAAATCCCTCAAACGCTTCTAATTGGTTCGTCCATAAATTAGTCTCGCCGACTAGACACAGAAGTATACTATATAAGGAATAACATAGACTGTAGGCCTTCTGTCCTTACTAATAAACATATCTGAGCCTGAATCTGAGATATTAGAACATTTTACTCTGGTTTTACAAAGACAACTAAGCTCACATACAGAACACAAGGTTACGACGATCCATAAAATTGTATCGGATTTTCTCAGTCCATTCTGTTACACACAGACTATAGTTAAAGATGAACAGTTATTTTGAATTTGCAGTTACGTCTAGTGACGTAGTCAAAAGAGTGAATACAGAAGTCCGGAAGATGGCTTAAACATGAGTCAGGTAATCATTCAGTTAATATGTCCTGGAAATCAGTGTCTCTTATGCAGTTTTGTCAACTACTTGATTTCTAGCCAACAATATGTAAAAAGCATCCTTTTTTTTACCAGTTAATGACTTAAAAATCTTAAAGTACATTGCTAATGCCTCAGTGATTTTGAAGGTCACTGGTAGGACGTTTTCAATTGTTAACGTGGTCACTGATTTGAAATTTGAATACGGTAGTAAGTTATCCTGCAGTGTCGTACTTCGTTATGGCTACTATATTTCCGGTTTTTCTTACTTCATATTCCCCATTAAGGACCTCATTTTAAGTCCATCGCTCTGGTTTCTGTCAGTCAATTCGAATGCCTTAAGAATCTTGCATTCACGATCAAGTAATTTACCAATTATCATATTGATTGGTATTTAGTTTAGAGGTAAAATATGAACTATCGGAGGTTCTTATCATGGTCACTTATTACTTTAAGATGTGATTGTTGTTAATTTAATGGTCATTACTTGCTCACAATAGTGTAGCTATAGCTACATATGTAATGATGAGTTTGTTCGCGGATTCGTTCTTCGAAATATTCTATAGTCCTGTTTCTGTAGTCAAAACAAAATTTAAACTGTCCAACGACTATAAAGTGGAAATGTAGTCAAGTGTTTAAGATATGGGTAATTCCTGACTTGTATTGGACTATTAATCTGTATATTTGGATTAATAAGGAAAAACAAAATGCGTCTTGGTTGATAGTTTTATAGCTACTCTGAATTTTATATCGTCGTTTTTTTCAGGACAGTTCATAGTCACTGTCACTACTTGGCATAATAATAACCCGTAATGTATTACAATGGAAATCTTTGTTAGGATTTACCTAGAGCACTCACAATAATAGTTATCTGAATGTTAACTGGGTTCTACTCATAAGTGAGTTAAGACCAACCGAGACATTACATATTAAGGTTCATCTGTGGTGTCGTAACTGCATCCGTAGCCGGTCAGTAGTTCATGGGGTGCTTAGTCAGCTCTGTCAAATCACACTTAGAGTTAAGTCTAAGTAGTCTTTATCATTCAGCGGTCTGTTATTTGGTAATAAACGTCACTACCAATTTCTTGGTTACTATACTAAGTTGTCGGCACAAAATATGCAACAATGCATTGCATGCTTGTCCTATATCCATTTGGCCTGTGAATGTCCAAAGAATAATGTATGAGTTCTTTAACAGTGATTAACTGTCATTTATGTCTATCTAATAACTAGTTTTGCTCTTATGAATTTCTTTCGAACATAATACATTTGGTACTTGGTTCCAACTCCCATAACTTTTGTTTCTACAAAGTACAGACAAGAAAAAAGGTATTGTAGACGCCGCAATGGTTCCTGTAGATGTCTTTTTTAGTAATTATTTTCTTGAATATTTTCTAAATATACAAAAGCGCATGAGTTGGTGGTAACCTAGATCTCATCATCTGAAGGGCAAACATTCACTCCATAATATACAAAAAGGTGACATCACTTTACCTCAGACAGTCAAAATCGAGTGACCCTTTTTTCTCTTTCCAAATATATCTCACTGGACTATACTCCTTAAATAACATCTTCAAACCCTAATTTTTCTGATTACTGCTTATAATTTTCCAACCCCTACCACCACGGGATTTGAATCGACAACTGCATCTCTGTGACAATCACAGAGGAATCAGTTTGACTAATATAGTGTATAAAATATTAGCTTCAATAATACTTCGATGCCTAACCAAAGCTCGTGAAGAACAGACTAGAGAAAATCAGGCTGGTTTTCGACCTGGACGTGGTTGTATAGACCAGATATTCACACTACGTCAGGTCCTAGAACACAGACACACATTCAGACGCCCCACAATGGTAGTATTTCTCGACCTTAAGGCGGCATTCGACTCTGTTGATAGTGAGGTTCTATGGCAGTGTTTGTCACTGAAAGGAGTACCAAAGAAGTACATTAACCTTGTAAAGGCTCTCTAATCGAACACAACTGGTAGAGTGAGAGCTTATGGCGAACTGTCATCAGAATTGATTACCTCAAGTGGTGCTCGTCAGGGCTGTCCACTCTCTCCATTCTTGTTTAACTTGGTCGTCGACGTGCTTTTAGAGATGACGCTTTCCTCATCTGACTTTCCAGGGGTTGAACTTCTACCAGGAGATTCACTTGTTGACTTGGAATATGCCGATGACATAGTTCTATTTGGTGAAGACGCTGACAAAATGCAGTCTTCTGACCACTCTAAGCAACAATGCAAACATGTTCGGCATGCGAGTCTCCCCCTCGAAATGCAGAATTTTGCTTCAGGATTGGGTTGCATCAGCGCCCGAACTAATGATAGGGAGTGAAGTAATTGAGTGTGTCGACCGCTTCATTTATCTTGGAAGTCTCATCAGCCCTTGTGGTCTGGTGTATGACGAAATCTCAGCACGGATACAGAAGGCTCGACTAGCTTTCGCCAACCTGCGTCACTTATGGAGTAGGCAAGATATCCGTTTACCAACCAAAAGACGTGTTTACTGCGCAGCAATCCGTTCTGTCGTACTTTGCAGCAGTGAAACGTGGCCGGTAAGAGTAGAGGATATTCCTAGGCTACTAGTATTCGATCATAGATGTCTTCGAAACATTGCTCGTATATCCTGTAACCATCGAGTAAGTAATGCAGTTGTTAGGAAACAGGTACTAAGTAAGGATGGCAAATCAATTGATGACGTAGTGAAACTTCAGCAGTTGAGATGGCTGGGACACGTGTTACGTATGCCCAACCACCGACTGCCTCGATGTGCTATGTTTTGTTGTATAGGAGTAGATTGGAAGAAAGCTAGAGGCGGCCACACCAAAACATGGCACAAGTCCATGAAGTCACTGACAAGTGGACTGAGTCATGTTGGTAGGTGTAGACTACCTGGTTGGGGATCGCGAGATGATATCAACCGATGGTTAGAGATCCTGAATTACATACCTCAAAATCGTTTGCAATGGCGCAGATGCATCCACTCTTTGTGTTCTCCCAAATTCTAATCTTCTGAATTCTTTATGTCCCTTTTCTTTTGTCTTTCCAAATTTATTTCACTGGATTATACTCCTTAAATAACATCTTCAAATCCTAATTTTTCTGATTACTGCTTATAATTTTCCAACCCCTACCACTACGGGATTTGAATCGACAACTGAATCTCTGTGGTAATGTGGTGTGGCAACTCGAACTGATGTACGTACGTACGAAGTTCTACGTTGTTACTGACTGACTGACTGACGCTGCATGAGGGGCAAATCAAATGACTGATTCACAGTTGTGCTTGCTTATTTTCGTATGATGTACCAAACAACACGAAGCGTTTATAAACAACCAACCAAAATATTTTTATTCGTCATTATTTGCATTAAGAAACTCACTCCAACTGTCATAATTCGATTCTCTTTAACTGATATGTTCTATTTAACAAACAGCATACCAAATCTCTTACAAATTATTCTATAATGCGAAGACGACAACTCGTTTCAACCAGTTTTACAGGTGAATTTGTACACTTTATACACTATATCAATCATTATAGTGTGGATAAACTCTAATCGTAGCTGTAACCTTGATGTGGTTATCGGGCTTAAAAATCGTAACGACCCAACCAAGCTACATTGGCTGGAACACGTGTTACTTTACGTCCGACCATCCCAAGCATATAGATTGGAGAGCAGTAAAATGAAACTCATAGTCCGAAGGCAACGTCTTACTTCTTATCATAGAGAGGTGTGACGACATCACTCTTTACCCCAGACAGTCAACATCTAAAGCTATCTTACCTTCCCACAACGGAAGGAGGCATCAGGAACGTCAACTGTGGAAACAAAACACACTACCTTGCCTCACGGATTCCCAAAATAGACAAACATCCTTGAAAAGTATGGAGCTAGCACCTCTAAAACTACTCACTAAAAGGTCGTGTTTGACCAGCTCCAATCAATTATTGCTTAAGTAATTGCAATCACGCTTCCAAGTCACTAACGTCACTAAAAACCCGATTTCCGTATCAGGTCCCTCCAAAGGAGTATCTTTTTATGGTATGGAGTAACAACTTAACTACTAAGTTGTAACAGTTATATTTTTGGTCAAAATTTGTCTGCTCTTACTCTTATTTTGTCTTTCAAAAGCAGATCTATCCCGGAAAAGTATCTTCAAACATTTAAATTCCAGGCGTGTTAAATAAGTTTTCACTATGCAAGTAGAGTATAAATTCGATGTGGATTATGCCAAAAGTAACAGATCTAAGTGCAATAAATGCAGAGTTGAAATCGACCAAAATTCTCTGCGTATCGCCATGTTGGTACAAGCACCAAATTTCGACGGGAAAATCCCCAGATGGTTTCATTACGATTGTTTCTGGAAATCGAAAGCCCATGTTGAGAGTACTGCTGAGATTAAACATTTCGATTCCATTCGTTGGGAAGATCAAGAAAAAATTAGATCTGCAATCAATAGTGAAATCGGTTCTTTAAAACCAACCAAAACCCGTAAATTCACTGTGAAGTTATCAGATGGGGATTTATCGTGTACTCATTGCCAGAAACCACTAAAGCATGTGAGTATTTAATTTGTGTGTAATGTTTGGAGAACGTCTTTATTAGTTTGTTATTTTTGTGTCGTTTTCCGCCAGTTGCAAGACGATTTATTTATTTAGTAAAAGGCCTGTTTCCAAGAAACTGAAGTCGCTTCAGAAGGATTTGTTGCTTTCGTCCATTTAGGAGTACTTGTTATATGGACTCACAAGTCTAATTTTCAGGCTTCATTGTCGATTATTTTTTGGGTTACTGTACACGTAGTGTTCATGTAATCAAGTAGAACTTTTAGAAGACTCAACTTTTTCTGACTTTTTCTCGGAATGTTTTAACTGTTACCGCTTTTTCTTTGTTTACTATGTTTAGCTTGTCTCTGTTTTGGTAATCGGGATCGACCAGGTAAATACTGAATTGTGTTTGTGACAGCAATAGTCACATTTATGGGTGACTCAATGTGTACAATAAGTATAATCTGAAGATGAAATCTTGCTTGTCTAACGTCCTCTCGTACTTCCCTATGATACTGTTTTGGGCAACAAGAATATAGGAAAACTATGAAGAGGTATTATTGCCGTCAAAATTTATTTACTTACTCAATTGGTAACGGAGTCGTCTCAGGGTTTATCATGGGAAAGTTTGAGATTTGTTGAAATGATAAACAGACTGCTGATAAGTGCTGCTTACGAGATGGAATCTCTGGTATAAGTTCTCACAATTCTATCAACCCGTTCATCTTGTTAAAACCACACCAGCACTCGAAAGTGTGAATCTGTCGTTTTCACTGTTAAAGTGACATCAGTGATCATCTGCCCATATTCTTTCCATTTATTTCTATACATGGCTCCTCACTTACTGCAGTGAAAGTTTGGTGGTTGAGGTTTCCAACTGTAGGCCACCAAGTCCCAGGTTCTAATCCCTTTCCACCTACTTCGGTTATCGCGACCGGGTAATATTCTTACGGTGTGGAATATACCCAATTACCTGGTGAATCAGTTTATTGAGGAAAACTACAATCCTAAATTGAAAGTTGTTTTCGTGAAAAGCGAACGGTCTGATTATCCTAATGGTGCATCCAGCTCCTCAACTGACTAAAGTCGTCATATCAGCTAGTCAAAACCAGTTGTCCTCATATGCTTTACTTTTCGCCATAAAAGTCAGTATGATTACAGAAACGAGTTCCAAGTACTACCGAGCCCCCAAATGTCCTGGTACGGCCGAGAGTGGGGAGAGTCCGCTCTCCCTCTCGAAATGCTCTCACATGGCCACGCGTATATAGCCTCTGTCAGGGAAGTCCTACTCACTGCTTTCTCGTGGCAGGGGTGTTGTTTACGGAAATGAGAGAACGAAAAGCGTATGTCCGGCGCTTTAACCGGGTCGGTGGACACGGAGAGTCCGCCTAGGGGAGTTGGAAAACCCTGATTCCAAACCAGTGGTGTAAATGGGGTCCAGCATCCTGAGAGAACAAATGGTGTATGGACTAATTATTTTTTACCGGCTATCATGGGACTGCATCTCCTGACGTTGCTCCACTGCCTTGTGGACCAGACCTTAAGGTCGAATGTTCCAGGTGTGGTCCCTGAGAAAATCACTTGTTTTGGTCTGGGCACCCGGACAGTATCCCAGCCCCTATATAAATCGAGTGATTAATGTAGCGCATATGTTTGGTGCCTCCAATATCTACCAATATCTATGTGTTCAAACAAATAAATAAATGAATAAATTACTGTATATCTTCAACTACTGGTTACAGTTTACATGCGCACATCCACGAGGTAGGTTTATCTCACTAGCATGAATCAAATCAATTAGTCATACACATTGGTTTGATCACTTCTACCTTTCTCCCAACCTATACACAAATAATCCATCATTGCATGTAAAGATAGTCGGTAGTTGGGCATACGTACTACATCCCAATCGTTCTAGCCGATGAAAATCCAGTTTATCAACATCCACTTTACTTCTCCATTGTTATTATTGATCTATACCTCCCAAAAAAAGTATTCGGTAAAAATCATCTCTATAACTGTATGGTCTAATTAAACATAATCGGGAAGTTTAATTGGCAATTAAATATATATTTAAAATTTACTCGAACTCTGTAATCAGTTTATATGTTCTAAGCAACTTTAATGACAATTCAAATTCCACAGGAACGTCATACAGTATGTGAATCTGGGAAAAAGCCAACATTCATGTGTCACCTATCCTGTTTTCTTAAAAGTAATGAGTGTCCAGAGGATATTTCACAGTAAGTGATTAACAGTTTTTTATCCTACTTTCAAAGTATCTATATTTTTTATGTTCGAGTGAATATAGATTTCAGTGAATTCATTTTCAGGCTGCGATACCAACTTACAAAATGCCTTGCATAATTTTGTTCATGTAAATATCAGCCACTCCACAATACAAGATAGTCTGCTTTAATAATGTTTGCTTCACACTCGGTGTCCTTGACTTCTTTCATCTTACGTAATGATAATGGTAGTTAAAATGTACATTTATAGATTTTTCATTAAACTTAGTTTCTGTGATAAGACACTAGTTGGCATAGTTGATACCTAACCAGTGATTCGGATGTTTTAACATGTAGCAAGGTACGGTTGTGTAACAGATTATATTATTCGTTTAGTTAGCCTGAGCCGAGCTGCTTGGCTTGATATTCCGCCTTGCAGTAGTGATGATGGCTTACATTAACTAATTTGGCTACACTCAGACTCTGTGTTTCACGAATGTTGTAGACAGAGGCCGATATGTAGCGTACATGTACTATGTGGTTTCTCGGCTTTATAATTCCTGAATGTCAAATATCTTGGCAAATAATAAATCGTTACATTATTGTGTGTCAAGTAATTGGTTCGCGTTTTTTATAGATATTTGTTATTTTCCGTGTTTTAGAAGAATAGTTTTGCATAAATTTATTCTCCGTCAATCAACTGTTCGTCTCCTTGTGTTTAAAGAATTTACCAAAGGTCTTTTAGCTAACAATCAAACTACTGTTTCTTGATTGTATCAATCTTAAAATCCTACAATGGTAAACGAGGTGTTCTCGAGCACCTCTAAGGGCATGAGGGCAGTTATCACTTCCAGGTTCTCCATACCATAAAAAGATACTCCTTTGGAGGGACCTGATACGGAAATCGGGTTTTTAGTGACGTTAGTGACTTGGAAGCGTGATTGCAATTACTTAAGCAATAATTGATTGGAGCTGGTCAAACACGACCTTTTAGTGAGTAGTTTTAGAGGTGCTAGCTCCATACTTTTCAAGGATGTTTGTCTATTTTGGGAATCCGTGAGGCAAGGTAGTGTGTTTTGTTTCCACAGTTGACGTTCCTGATGCCTCCTTCCGTTGTGGGAAGGTAAGATAGCTTTAGATGTTGACTGTCTGGGGTAAAGAGTGATGTCGTCACACCTCTCTATGATAAGAAGTAAGACGTTGCCTTCAGACTATGAGTTTCATTTTACTGCTCTCCAATCTATATGCTTGGGATGGTCGGACGTAAAGTAACACGTGTTCCAGCCAATGTAGCTTGGTTGGGTCGTTACGATTTTTAAGCCCGATAACCACATCAAGGTTACAGCTACGATTAGAGTTTATCCACACTATAATGATTGATATAGTGTATAAAGTGTACAAATTCACCTGTAAAACTGGTTGAAACGAGTTGTCGTCTTCGCATTATAGAATAATTTGTAAGAGATTTGGTATGCTGTTTGTTAAATAGAACATATCAGTTAAAGAGAATCGAATTATGACAGTTGGAGTGAGTTTCTTAATGCAAATAATGACGAATAAAAATATTTTTGGTTGGTTGTTTATAAACGCTTCGTGTTGTTTGGTACATCATACGAAAATAAGCAAGCACAACTGTGAATCAGTCATTTGATTTGCCCCTCATGCAGCGTCAGTCAGTCAGTCAGTAACAACGTAGAACTTCGTACGTACGTACATCAGTTCGAGTTGCCACACCACATTACCACAGAGATTCAGTTGTCGATTCAAATCCCGTAGTGGTAGGGGTTGGAAAATTATAAGCAGTAATCAGAAAAATTAGGATTTGAAGATGTTATTTAAGGAGTATAATCCAGTGAAATAAATTTGGAAAGACAAAAGAAAAGGGACATAAAGAATTCAGAAGATTAGAATTTGGGAGAACACAAAGAGTGGATGCATCTGCGCCATTGCAAACGATTTTGAGGTATGTAATTCAGGATCTCTAACCATCGGTTGATATCATCTCGCGATCCCCAACCAGGTAGTCTACACCTACCAACATGACTCAGTCCACTTGTCAGTGACTTCATGGACTTGTGCCATGTTTTGGTGTGGCCGCCTCTAGCTTTCTTCCAATCTACTCCTATACAACAAAACATAGCACATCGAGGCAGTCGGTGGTTGGGCATACGTAACACGTGTCCCAGCCATCTCAACTGCTGAAGTTTCACTACGTCATCAATTGATTTGCCATCCTTACTTAGTACCTGTTTCCTAACAACTGCATTACTTACTCGATGGTTACAGGATATACGAGCAATGTTTCGAAGACATCTATGATCGAATACTAGTAGCCTAGGAATATCCTCTACTCTTACCGGCCACGTTTCACTGCTGCAAAGTACGACAGAACGGATTGCTGCGCAGTAAACACGTCTTTTGGTTGGTAAACGGATATCTTGCCTACTCCATAAGTGACGCAGGTTGGCGAAAGCTAGTCGAGCCTTCTGTATCCGTGCTGAGATTTCGTCATACACCAGACCACAAGGGCTGATGAGACTTCCAAGATAAATGAAGCGGTCGACACACTCAATTACTTCACTCCCTATCATTAGTTCGGGCGCTGATGCAACCCAATCCTGAAGCAAAATTCTGCATTTCGAGGGGGAGACTCGCATGCCGAACATGTTTGCATTGTTGCTTAGAGTGGTCAGAAGACTGCATTTTGTCAGCGTCTTCACCAAATAGAACTATGTCATCGGCATATTCCAAGTCAACAAGTGAATCTCCTGGTAGAAGTTCAACCCCTGGAAAGTCAGATGAGGAAAGCGTCATCTCTAAAAGCACGTCGACGACCAAGTTAAACAAGAATGGAGAGAGTGGACAGCCCTGACGAGCACCACTTGAGGTAATCAATTCTGATGACAGTTCGCCATAAGCTCTCACTCTACCAGTTGTGTTCGATTAGAGAGCCTTTACAAGGTTAATGTACTTCTTTGGTACTCCTTTCAGTGACAAACACTGCCATAGAACCTCACTATCAACAGAGTCGAATGCCGCCTTAAGGTCGAGAAATACTACCATTGTGGGGCGTCTGAATGTGTGTCTGTGTTCTAGGACCTGACGTAGTGTGAATATCTGGTCTATACAACCACGTCCAGGTCGAAAACCAGCCTGATTTTCTCTAGTCTGTTCTTCACGAGCTTTGGTTAGGCATCGAAGTATTATTGAAGCTAATATTTTATACACTATATTAGTCAAACTGATTCCTCTGTGATTGTCACAAGAGGACTTTTGTCCTTTCTTATAGACTGGCACAATCAGTGATTGTGACCAGTCAGATGGGATTACGTCCAGTTCCCAGATTCTACCTAAGACCTCAGTTAATCTCACTGCTATTACTGGACCACCATCCTTGAAACTCAGGAGTAAACCTGTCAGGGCCTGCTGCTCTTCCTCGCTTCAGATTTCCCATGGCTTTTCAACTTCCTAAAGAGTTGGAGAACCTACATTACCTTGCCATTCAGGTTGAATGGAGATCATGGGAAACCGAAGTGTGGCTGAAGGCCAGTTGAACTGATCCCTAAAGTGTTCTGCCCATCGATCCAATTTCCTGGATTGAGAATGAATAATATGTCCATCTTTCTCTGAGAGTGTTTCGCTAACTGTCGGGTTCCTAATACCGGTTTCTTTATCAAGTCTGAACAATTGTCTGCTATTACCTATTGCCGCTGCCTTTTCTATATCTCTTGCTTTCGTTACCCACCACTGTTCGCGATCATTGCGTAGGCTTCTTGTCAGCTTGCGCTTAAGCTGACTCCGCTCTTCATTATGTTCAGAGTCAGGTGGAATGAGTTTCCGAGCATCTATCAGTGCGATAGATGCTGCTGAGATCCAGTGTTTCTCTCTAACCTTCTGGTTTACCTTACAAGCAGATATCACTGCCGTTTCCACAGCTTTTCGGATATCATTCCATGCTGCCTCGGGGTGGGCATCACATACAAGGCTGCCTAACTGTTTTTCTAGTTGTTCCTGAAATATACTCTTAGCTTGACTATCAATAAATAGGACCCTAAGAGGTTTCCTTGCATCATCTTTCCTACGTCCAGTAAGACGCAGGCAAATACGCGCTTACACTAGGGCATGATCTGAATCTAAGCATGTGCTTCAGAATAAGTGAAAGTCTTCTATCGAGCCCCTCCATCGGTGGCTGATAGCGATGTGATCTATTTGGGTCCAACGTTGGGACGAATTAGGGGGTCGCCATGTTAAAAGATGTTTTTCCTTATGCTTAAAGTTAGTATTTGCAAGGAACAGGCGGTTATCTGAGCATAACTGCAACAGACGGTCGCCATTATTTGTCCTTTGAGCCGCGACACCATAAGATCCATCCAGGTGTCTTTCCCTTTCGCTTAGTTTACCTGCTTGAGCATTAAAGTTACCGGCCACTATTACTACATCCGAGCGCCTAGCTTTTCGGAGATCGGAAAGCTTTTTGTAAAACTCATCTTTTACATCATCTGAACTGCAGTCAGTGGGAGAGTAGGCAGAGACGACGAAGAGGCAACGATGAGTGTCCCTATCTTTCCGAGTCCTTATTGTTCCGTTCAGTCGGACAGCGCACAAACGACTGTCTACTGGAATCCAGTCTAAGAGAGCTAGTTCAGCCATAGGACTCAATGCTATACCTACGCCAGTGAGGTCACGAGAGGCAGCATCAGGGCTTCCAGATACATGAAGCGTAAATCGAGTTGGTTCGTTACTTTGACAGCGAGGTCAACTGAATGACACTACTCGGATCCTGTGTGCGCGTTTCGGAGACGCAGCACACATCGATGGTGCGAGATTCTAAATTCCTAGCTAAGGAAGGTTGTTGTCCTATTTGGCACAGTGTTCGGACGTTGAAAGATCCTACGTGTAGTTTAGAACATGGTTTCAGGAGACCAGGAATAACGTTCCGCGTACTCGAATCGTTTGCCCTAGCGGTGCGAGGTGATAAAGGGACGTGAGAAGGGTTAGTCGTGGAGATAAGAGAGGTATTAGGAGGTGTAGGAAGGATTTGAATGTGACCAACTTGGCCTCGTGTGTTGTTACGGGTATGAGGGCTGATATCACTTCCCGGCTGCCCACACCGTGGAAGGGTATTTCTTGAGGAACCTGAAAAAGAAGTCGGATTAGTGTTGGTCTTAGCGACCTGGACAACTACTTGAGGCCGGTCGCTCACGGTCTTTTTGTGGGGGGTTTTTAATGTGTCAGCTCCGTTCTTCAAAGGGCCTTACCGACGGAGGCGGAGATCCGTGAGGTAAGGTGAGGTGTGACATTTTTAGGGTCGACCTTTTCTAACCCCTTCCTTCCTTGTGAGAGGGCAGCATCGCTGCAGATGCTGGTTGTCCGAGGGAAACACCTTACTGCTGTCACACCCCTCTACAGTCAGCAGCACGACTTCGCCCTCAGACCTTGAGTTGCTGCTTTAAGTCTTACCGTTCTCCAATCGACCGGCCTGGCATGATAGAACCTACAGAAACATATGTTTCAGCCAATATAACTCGGTTGGGTCATCACGATAGGCAAGCCCGACCACCACGTCAAGGTAGCAGCTACGGTCGTGAAACCGGGCTGGTGCGTGCGTACGACTCACCTTGGGGAGTTGGAAAACTCTGATTTCAAAGCAATATTGTGTATAGCTCTAGTATCTTTAGAGAATGAATGGCGTATGTAACCATTTTCGTTACTGGCTACTATGTAATATCGTCTCCAGACGTTGTTCTACTTCCTTGTGGATTAAATTCTTAGGTCAGATGCCCTTGGTGTGGTCTCTCAAATAGTCCGCCTGTTTCAGTTTAAACGCCTGAGCAGTTTCTCAGTTCGCACACAAATATGATGTAGTGCATACTATTGTGTGTATTAAATAGATAAAAATACTGACTTAACCAATAAAGTATTCTGCTGTTTCCTCTTAGTTTTTCTACTTCACTTTTATGTTTCGCTAATTTCGTTTTACGTAAAATATTGTGGTCGAAATCGCATATATTTTCCGTTGATTGTGTTGCTCTCGTTTACATCCATTCTAGACTGATAGGTTTTCGTAAATTGTCGACTGTCGATCAGGATGCAGTTGTTTTGGCATTTCGTGAAAACTCAAAGTATGCTATTTATATACACCTATAATGCTAATTATCTCTTTATGATCGTGTTTTTAATATTCACATTGTTGTATATAATCTTACCAACTTGACATAATTTTTACCATATTTCTGCTTGTTAGTAAATTATTTCATTTATTCCCCGACGGGGCTTATGTATATATAAAAAGTGGTGTTTGTAACCCTTTTCTGTCCTTATGAAATCACTTGATAAACAAATGCGTCCCCCTGGAAAAAACACTACACTCTTGTACGTCTGATGTGTCATATGTACAATTAAAAAGTGTTTAGACAGATCGATTGCCATGTGTCCAGGTAGCATAAAAATATAACGTGTATTTTAATAATGTTTAATGAAATCTATTTTCTGACTCAAATTGAGTTTTATCATTTGTGAATTTAAGTGTATATAGGTAGATGAATTCAAGATGAGTTGAATGAACTGTAATACTGGTAGTAAAATTTGGTGGACTGAAATTTGATGCCTTTTAATAATCTTACCCATGTACTAGCGTTACTGGAGGGCGCGCTCATGGGAAGATCTCTTGACATCAGTTACTTATGACTTTTTTGTAATTGTTGTTGGTTTCATGGTATCATTCCTTACTTTCTGAAACCTTGACATCTCAGCGGAAAATCAGTATGGCAAAATATATGATACTTTGTGTATCGTTCTTTGATTTTTTGCCTCTTACTCTGCAAAATTACGAGTAAAATCTTAATCTCTTACTTGAAACACTACTTTTAGTCATATTGCTTTCCAGTTGACATGACTATCCTAGTTATTCCGGCTTATTTGGGACATCAAAATAGTGAAAATTAACCACTACGTCAAGGTGACAATACAATAAAATGTGTAGTCTGTAGGAAAGCATATGTTTTCAAACCATTTGAAAAGAAAACCACTGGGTCAGGATGTAAAATCGCAGCAATAACTATTCAGTATCAGTATTTTGTACCCACTAATGGTTAAGTTCGAGAGCTGATTTCCGGAGTTCTAATGGGAAACAATGACCACATCGGGTGTAAGACAGTTACCCACAAATAGCACTGGAAGGTAGTTAGGCCCTATTGTCAATTGACTAAAGTTAAAAATGTAAGTCATTGCATACTAACCCAGTGGTCTTAAAAATGAAGTGCTCGTCACAAAGTCCTGTGTTCGATCTCCATTTGGTTGATATTTGCGTACCGCTGAGGAGTTTTGCACTGTAAAGAAGTGGATGTCCAGTTCTTGCTGCTTTCCAATGGTCATCTAAATTAAGTCAGTTAACGTTGTAGACTCTGAAACTCAATAACCTTTACGAACCGCTCACATTAATTATTATTAGAAAGACAGGAATGTACGTAAAAAACTGTTTTGCCAAATTATTATTCATGCAAGCTTCAGTGTTCTCAGTATTCTAATGTATAGACAATACTTTTCTTAATGACATTTAAATTACGGAAGATAGAGAGCGACTTACATCACATGCAGCTGAGTTTAATTGGATTCGATCAACCAACTATGTAATTCAAGTATTAGTTGATTCACTAAGTTTACCACTTTTTATTCACCTCATAACGCGGTGTGGTGTTTCTAATACCAATATTGTATATATTTTCATTTGTATTACATATTTTTCTGTATCTATATGTTAAGGGAAAATCGTAAACGTCCTGGACAGCAAACTGAACAAGATTCAAAATTGAAAAAACCTAAATTAAATGGAGATGTTGAACAGGTTAGTGAGTGAGTGAGTGAATAAATCAATGAATTGACTATTCTTTTATTTAATCAATACGATTACTACTGATTTAATATAAGTTTTACTAGTACAGATTCATTAACTTGGCAGTGAGTCACATTTACTGTATAAGGGTTAAAGATATTAACTGGTTGCACGAAACGAAGTAAATCAAACGGAGTTGTAATTTGCAGCCTTCAATTTAGACACCAACCCTCTCTCTCTCTCTATATATATATATATTGACAAATGCTTATTGTTTTATTGTATCCCAGGATGAATTACGTAAACAAAATAAATTATTATGGAGTTTAAGAGATAAACTAGAAAGTCAAGTATCCAAAGAAGCATTAATTGGTTTATTGGAATACAATAAACAACATGTTCCATCTGGATTATCTCGTCTATTAGATGCAGTTGCTGACGCTATGATATTCGGTGCTCTACCATATTGTCCTAGTTGTAAAAATGGACCATTACATTATAGTAATGGACAGTTTAAATGTAGTGCTATGGCAACTGAATGGGTTCAATGCCTTTATTATACACGGACACCTGATCGAAGAAAGTTTAAAATACCTGAGGAATATCATGATGTTGATTTTTTGTAAGTTTATTATTTTCATTGATGGTATAAACAATCCAATAGTCGAATTTGATTTCTACATCTTAAAAAGTAAATTCACGTAACAGCACTGTAAAATATAATCTCTAATCCATGTATTGTGTAGTATGGCTTTGGATGTCCTACATATGTTACAAAGTGACTGAGATACAATTACAATTCACTTGAACTAGAATTTGGGCTTTCTCATTTTAACGTTATGTTATACCATCTTGAAATGTGTCATCAAAGTAACGTACACATCAGTGAGGTTGATTTATCCGCACCGACAAATATTTGTCCCAGGTTTCGACATTATCTGTCACTGTAGGTTATATATGATCAGTCTTCATATTGTAAGATCCAAGGTTGTTTTTATGTCGATATTGCGCTACCTTTGGCACCATGGCAACGATATTCTGTAAAATCAGTTCCGTTTTAAACCCATCAATTTCATAGTCATTAAGTAACCAGTCATATTTACAATACAACCAACGTAATATTTGCACAAGTAAGAAGGGAAAGGGGTCGCATTTTACGACAAAACTATTAACATTCTTGGTGTAAAAATTTTATTACAGAGAACATCTGTGTAGATAAATAGCTAAATAATAAAGTACCAAAAGCTAAGAATGAAATATAATAAGCGATTCAGCAATTAAAAACGGAAGGAACAGTAGATCAATTCCCTTTAAAAAAGCTATTATTATGTAATATGTAGATACGAACAAACAGATTTCGATGTGTTGAGTGGTTAGCGGTGATTTACAGGAAGCCCATAATCACGCTACTTGATACTCATCAGAAGGAACCTATCTACAGTTTTTGGTAGAGTTTTGTTCTCTGAGCTAGTTGGTTTGGTCATGGAGCTTTCATCGTTATTCTGAAAGACATCATCAGCACAAGCTGCAGGTAGAAGTGAAGTGTTCGAATTTCTCCACATAGGGGCTCCCAAGTGCCTCGGTACGGCTGAAGGTCGGGAGAGTTAGGTCTCCTTCTCGAAATGCTCTCACATGGCCACGCGTATACAGCCACTGCCAGGGAAGCCCTACTCACTACCTTCTTGTTCAAGAGGGCGAGGACACACTTGCGGCGCGGAAAAATGAACAAAAATATCTAAAGACTATCTTTTGAAGAACAGCTACCCAATCAACTTCACCAAAAAATATCAACCAAACGCATCAGCAGAAACAAAATCAAGTACAGAAAACAACAAATGAATCATCCTACCATATATAAAAGACATATCAGAAATAACAACGACGTTGTTGAAGCCTTTTGGAATAGGTGTAGCACACAAACCAACAAAATCTCTCTAATCAATCCTATTCAAACCAAAGGCCGAAATGACAAAGGAAGAAAAGCCGAACATCATCTACAAAACAAATTGTTCCAACTGCGAAAAACACTACAATCGACAACACCCTCTTCATCTTCACCTGCACGAACACGAATTAGCGGTCAAACGCCATGACATATTCTCGCTTATATCAATGCATGTAGACAACTGTGCACATACATTCGACTGGGAAAGTGTTGAGATCTTGGGTAGAGGCAATTCCAAAAACGCCATAGAATTTTTAGGAGCTTAGCACTCAAGTCAATCAACAAAGACATTGAAATCGATTCAATTTATCAACCAATCAGAAAAATTATGGACAAATATAGGACCGACAATCAAATCATTGGGAGATACAATCAAAATAAAGGAGTAGACAATGTCAGGTTAAACGTCAGCAATAACCAATCAAGATTGAGGTTTACAGGACAAGCTGTGAACCATGTGGAGAAATCAGAACACTACTTCTATCTGAAGTTTGTGCTGATGATGTCTTTCAGAATAACGATGAAAGCTCCATGACCAAACCAGTCCTCAATACATTACTCTTGCTTGCCTGTCATACTAACTCGTTGATCAAACCATATTAGCCCGAATACTTATTCATTATTATGTATTATTCCCAGTAGATCGGTCCGATAACAGTAGACCAAGAGGGCTGAAGTTTACTTCTGAGAATAAATACATAACTACTAAATGTACTGTTGATAGCGTGATAAGTTATGGTGAAATAAGGACTTAGATTTTCAGATTCGAGCAACAATCTTGATTTGCGTCGTTTAATAATAATAATACTATGTGATTGCCCGAAATGAATTTGGTGCACAGGGTTCGCATTTGCAATATTATGGTTAAAAGCTCTAAACCCCTTTACAATTGGTTTCATTTGTTTCGCTTAGATTCACCAAAAATACTTCTATTTTGTATACATTTGTTGGTTCAATCGACTCTTCTTCCATTGTTTTTCAACTTAACCAGAAAAAATTACAAATATGTTAAGCGTACACGATTATTTCCACCTGATTCAGTGTCTGATGTTACTGGTCCATTAACTGGCCTGTTTTTCTACATTACAAATGGACCATTCGACAGCGGAAAAACAAAAGAACAATTAATACGTGAATTGGCCAATCTAGGTGGTGCTATTATGAGTAAGGTATGCACTTTAACTGCTTATGTCATTCTTTATTGTTGTTGTGTTTCTTGTTTTTCACAAAATATTAGAGAAAGATAGTGCCAATACAGGTTTGAACATTCAAATGTATATATGTATGCATATCATCCTTCGGGTTTAAGGTTCAATTTCAGTACGCTTACTTCTATTTGAACAGTGGGATAGTATCCTTGGTCTTCATACAAAACAAGACGTTCTGTAGTCAAATCAGATCATGTTACGACATGGGTTCCCTATAAAAAACCCGAACCTGCCAAGCAAATGAGAAGAGTGAAATTAGTAGAGAGACTATTATCAAGCAGAAGTGTAATCTACATAAATTATATATATATATATATATATCCCCTGATTTGGAGATCTTGGAGATCTTGACTAGGAGCATAATCGACGTCTTCTGGTGGCCCGTTTCGTCAGTATTTCCTCATATGTTGTTTGATTTCTTAAGTCGAAAACTAGACACAGGTACATGATATACCTATACTCTATCATACTATTAAAATCCAGTACAGGGGATTGTATTCGCTTAACAAATCTACATTATCTGTTGATGCTAGGATACTGTAACTTAAGAAAAATTATCAAGAAATTCATGTAACGTCGAAGGTTTTTCTTAACAAAGATAGTAGTAAAAGGAGGCACTTTTCAATTGAACCAAGATTTTCAGCGTAGTCCGTGAAAACTGCGATGGTGATGAAAATCCAACCTGATCATCGGCATTCTGTATTGTGGGAACATCGGATATTTGTTATCGTATCATGTTTTCCTGCTGCTTTGAAACTGTCCTAATAAGACTAATTTATCGAGTTTGTATACATAATTCTGAAAAAATATTTGGTCGTAAGGATAGGGTTGTAGATGTTGTTGCATTTCATTGGTCACAAACCTACCTAGGTTGGATAACCATTAAAAACTGGAAGCACTAGACGGTCGTTTGGTCAACGTATGGAACTCTTCAGGTTTGTACGCGAAATCAAGTTCTTGGGTTTGATTCCCTATTGTGGAGTCACAGATGCACACTGTTGTGGTATCCCATACTAGAACGGAACCGCCGTCAAATACTTCTACGTTTTCGGTGGTTGTCTCACTTAGATCAGCTCAGGATTCCAATGGAAGTATTTGATGTTGAAGAAAAGTAAAACGATAAGGCAGCTGAATAACCTGACGTTTGTGACTTCTAGGAGTGTTTTGAATACAGGTGGAAATAATACAAGTATATTGGTGTAAAAAGATAATGATAAAGTCTCTATAGCTTAAACTACTTTGTTAAATGTATTTTGTATAACTTTAGCACTCAGATTTAGTTCAACAGATAACTTTCTAAAACTTAGCTCCCCTTAATATTATCACTATTTCTTCTAGGAAATATTTAGTGAACAACGTATGCGAATATTTCTCTGACACTATAATCGATGATACTGTTGACATTTATATGTCTTCCATTTCGTCAGCAGAGTTGATGGAGTGATTTATCGCATCAAGCAAACAGAAAACCCATTTTTCAATTGATGTTACATCCTTGACCGGTTTCTCCAATAATATACAGGAGAGAAATTGACTCCATCTATGTTAAGGCCTTGACACGATAAGTTAACTGGTTCAACCTTGTGTTTGAAATTTTTTTGAGTTCGAATTGAGACTAACGACCTTGGTCAGAGAGATGAAAACTTTTTTGTCCTTGTTGGTTGACAAGCGAGAAAGAGAAGATAAGTCAACTGGAACACTACTCTATTTATTCCTAATTCAGATTAATGTAAGAAGATGTGTAAATAAATGGATGACTAACACGACCACAGCGCACAAACTTATAGAAAAATTCAATTATAACCAAACTTAGACATCACGATAGAAAAATGTGATACAAAGGATTACGTTTAAATTACAATAACTTTGGAAAAGAAAAGAGTATGGGAATGAATTATACATCAAACGAAAGCTTATGGTTTATAAAACAAATCAGTGGCAAAACTAAGTTTTAGTATTTTACAAACATTAAATTAAGTGATGTTCTCCCCCCCCCGCAAAAAACATTAGCTTCCGTTGTTCATCATGACTTCTTTATTTCTCTATTAACATTTATTGACATAAGTTTAACTGAATTTGTGATAGGTCCTGAGTTTGAATCTCGCAAGGCGTGATCATGGATGCGCACTGCTGAACAGTCCCACAATAGGACGGAACGGCCGTCCAGTACTTCCAGGTTTCCCATGGTAGTCTAGCTTCAACTGACTCATGATCTCAACTATTAAAATTACTATGATTACCTTCCTTTCTCTATCTTTTCACGATGTAATTTTAATCATATGGCGCATACATATTTTGATGCTAATTTTTCTACCAATATTTATTTGTTTAAATAAACACATAAATCGGATCTACGAAGTACTACTGTTTGAAAGTCATCTGATTCAACCAGCCTCTACCTTTGTGTGTAGTAAATATATGCTATTCAAGTCAGTCAACAAAGATTTTCTAGCTAATCCTTTTCTCTTGAATAATATTTCTCAGTTTTAGTGGTATTGTATCTTCTGAACTAAACGACTTAATTGTATAGCTTTCATTTTCTTTCTGGACAACATCGGCGCCTACTTCATGTACAAGTGTACTTCTTAATGTTGTCTCAATTGTTGGACTAGTTCGTTCTAATGGTCTTTTTTGTGACTGACTATCTTCATAGGTTTCGTTTTTTTATTTCTTCTAGTATTCAAGTTGACTATTTAGTTCGGTTGACCTCCGATCATATCCTTGATCTCTACCGTACGTTTAAATGTATTAGATGTTTATCAATTGGTTGTCAGTCTGAATGTTGTACTTTCATGTATTCTCTTGAATTCTTAGAGTTTCTATAATCTAGAGAAATATTGAACTTTTGTTCCTAGCCACATTTATGTCGGACAAAATACTACCGAAAGCCATCCACCTAAACCGCATATATTTTAATTCCTGAACCTATTCACTATTCTACTGCTTGATTTTTCGTATAAACCTGTTGATTTTTGTGTATTAATCGATCACTTATTAAAAATTGTGGGAATCCTATAATGATGATGACAATAATAATAATAATAATAATAATAATAATAATAATATTATTATTATTATTATTATTATTATTATTATTATTATTATTATTACTCGCATTGTAGCTCAGTGTTAATTCGATTGTTGTCTCCACATTGAACGAATTGGAACAAATTCAAAGTGATAATAATGATACGAATAAAACTTACTCGAAAGAAGCTCTGACAACTGCACGTTCTTACGGTTTACGTGTCATTAATGAACACTTCTTATCAGAATTCAATCCTAACAGTTTGGACTCTAAAAAATTGGAATCGAAAATCCAGCAACTCTTAGCCAAATATACAATATCCAATTGGGAGGTGAAGGTATGTACACTAGACGCGTATTCAAACATCAAAACACAGTGGTTGTCTCTGGTGTTGTTTTCTTTTTTAATAGGAATTGTTTATTTACATTAAATGATATTGTACATTAGCACCCATTGTGCACTATAATTTTAGTGATTAGTTAGTAAAAAACATGGCCGCTGCAAAACTCCAAGGTTGTGGGTTCAATCAGTGATAGTGTTGTAGGTGCATACACTTCTGATAAGTCACAGTTCGTTTAAAAATAGTTGTTCGGTGCTCCTTGGTGTTTAATAACTGTTCATAACCAAATCTAGTCAGTCCATGATGTAAACTATCCTTTAAATTGATTAGTCTCCACAAATCTCTCGTCTTAACCATAAGAAATATGATTTGGAAAATGTGAGTAACCGGTTTGCATAGCTCGCTTTGCTCTTATTAGCATGACTCACTTGTGGCGTAGGCAAGATGTCCATCTGCCTGACGAGCATACTGCGCATCAATTTGTTCTGCTCTACTACATCACTGTGGATTGTGGCTTTTAAAAATGGGCTATTAGTATTTGATCATAGATAACTTTGATGCATATGTAGTGCATGTTTGGATCACTGAGAGTAAGCCCTGTTGAGATTACATGCATGTTGCTAAATAAACATGATGAATCAGTTGATTAAGCGGTAAATCTCTATTGAATAAGATAGTTGGAACATGTACTACGTAGCCTTGACCACAACACGTACCTCGACGTGATATTTTTGTCAATATAAGAATAGATTGAAAGGAAGCTGGGGGGAATGGGCGACCAAATCAAAATTTCCCCTAGCTTTCTTCCAATCTATTCTTATATCAACAGATATCATGTTAAGTTAGGTGATTTGGTTAATGCTACGTAATACATGTCCCAACTATTTTATTTCAGTTCATAAAGTCATTGACTATTGAACTAAGCTGCGTTGGTTGGTTAGTGCAAACTATCAAGTTAGGATTCTCTCGATCGATCATGGTTGTAGATGTTGCATAGTATAGCTGAAATATCAACTAGGCAAATTTTACTTACTGACATATTAGAATATTAAATCCAGTATACATTTTTTTACATTCCTTACTTTCTTTCCTTCTCTATGGATTATTACAACTACTGGGATTGTTCTTACCGGAAGGCTCGTGCATTAAAAGGTAAATATATATTTATATATGGTCTTTTTAATGGATTACTTGATGCATTGATTTTTATGTATTTTGTTTTACTAAACAAAACCTTTCAATGTTTTAACCTGGTGTTATTAAGAAAAAAGTGGGTTGGGCATTGCTAAAACAATCACACGGATTACTTAGTTCTTTTTTTGTGTGTTGATAATAATGTTTTACTAATAATAACGGTACCTTCAATCGCTTTTCTTTTTTCGAAATTCTAAATCTTGTTTACATGATCTTTGGTCTGTTCTTTTTTACTGATTGGTTTTTCAGTAATTTGTGGTCCGCTAGTTTTATGTATGTCTCAGGTTCATGTTCTTATTACTACATATATACTGAGTTAAATCATTTTGAGTTCTTTTGCCTAAATATCAAAATTTCTACATTTCGTTTTCTCCTATTGTTAGCGGTTAATGGTTGAATTGTTCTTTGTCCCTGTAACGTGCTTTGGTTTGGGCGCCTGGGCAGTATCATAGATCTCACACAGATCAATAATAATTGCCACTGGCCTCATTGTTATTATGTGACGCATATGTATTTGGTGCCCCCTTGTACCATTGTTTATGTGCTCAAATAAATAAAAAATAAATTTTTGTCCCTGCTGCCACTATTGAGTTCACAAAAATCGTTCATATTAGCTCGATTGTTTACTAAATCTCAAGTTCTGCAGACCTGTACCAAACTTCAAATATCTAAGGTGTGACAAGTGGAGTAGTCATGTTATATATGTCTGTGTAAAAAAAGTTGACTGAACTATGAAGAAAAAGATATCTCTAATTATCGTGTCGTACTGTACTGTATACAACAAGGATCAACTGATCTTAGTTTTAGGTTGTTTAAAAATGTAGTTGGTAAAGAGCAACGTATTTGTCCTAAATTGAGTTCTTTACAGTCTCAGACCGAACTTTATCTAATATTTTGTAGGTCAATAAAGTTTTAAAGGTGAAAATCGTATTTGTTGGCGATTAGTGTTTATTTATTTGAACACATAAGCATGGGTACAGAATGGCACTGAATACATATACACCACACAAGTCGCTTGATTTGCGTGTGAGCTGTGATACTTTCTGGGTGCCCAGACCGAAACCGGTGGTTTTCTTAGGGGACCACACCCGCAACTCTCGACCTGAAAGTCTGATGCACAAGGCAGTAGAGCAACGTCAGGAGATGCAGTTCCATGATAGCCGGTAACCAGTAATTGGTCCATACACCATTTGTTCCCTCGGGATACTGGAGCCCATATACACCATTGATTTGGAATCAAAATTTTTCAGCTTCCCTGGGTGGACCCCCCATATACACCAACCCGGTTGAAGCGCCAGACATTCGCTTTCCATCCTCTCAATTTCGTAAACCTCCACCACGAGAAGGCGATGAGTAGGACTTCCCTGGTAGTGGCTGTATACGCATGGCCATGTGAGAGCATTAAGAGAGAAAGACCTCACTATCCCGACCCTCGGCCGTACCAGGGCATTTGGGGCACTTCACGCTTCGAACTCTGTGCAAAATTCAGTAGCCTCGATCCTTAATCTGATTGGTTTGTCAGTGTAGTACACTTTCACCATTCCTTTTTGATTATCCTTTTAGTGTTGACCTTACATAAAATAGTATGCTAGGTCCTTCGCATAATATACATATTAAGTTATACTCAATCTAGGCTTCAATATCTTTTTTTAAACGATCACACAACTGCCAATATTGTCCTAGTGTTTGTTTACCTATATAGTTGAGAAAGAGGTGAAAAATTTACTATTGAATGATGATAACGGTGAACAAGAAATGATGCGAATGATAATGAAAAATGGTGCAGTGGTCGATCCTCAATCAGAACTGGTCAATAAAGCCACAGTATTGAAAGATGAGAAGGGAGAATTCATGACTGCTGTACTCGGTATGGTTGATTTAATCAAAGGTTCCAATTCATTTTACAAGTAAGTGTAGAGATATATTTGTGTAATACATTTTTTTGTTGATCGTGTGCGCGCGTGTAAGTTATAGTGTCACTTCAATTTTCTCGTGAAAGCACATATTACTGTTTATCAAGATTACGACAGAAGGTTCAATGTAATTATTTCTGAATGATGGCCCTATACATACAAGAAGCCTGTGATTTCTTAATAGACGTTGTTGACTGTACAACTAGTGATTAATCCTGACGAACACTACTTGGGGTTGAAAACTCTCTATAGACTCCACCACTAGTAATCGGGTAAAGAACCTTCTCAAGGTTTAAATATTTTCCTCGTACACCTTTTAATCACAAATACTGTGTCACTAAGTCTCTCATTCAATGGTGTCCAACATCGCTTTAAGGTCATAAAAATACAACTATAATCAGACTTAAATGAGCAAACTTATGGCTTTCCATAGTTTACTGTTTCCCAACTTCAAATAATCGTTTGACTAGTGGTGTCATATTATAAACTAACAATCGCTTCGCTTTTTTCCATTTGTTCCAGCTTCAAATAAGAATGCTCATTACGAATCCCATGTATAAAACGTCTTCACTGTACCCTAACAGGTGTTACCAATTTTCAGCCTAATTGTATGTTGATGCTACAGTACGTAATCAAACATTTGAAGATAATGAAGGTTGAAAACACCCTTTGTTCAAAGAGACCAAGTTTTTAACGTATGCATGGCACGACTACTGGACTGTAAACTTGCATAACTAGTCTCATTATACGAGGTTGACAATTATAACGTCTTCGAAAATGACCCAAATTGTTATAAGTCGTCCTATCTTCATTATACATAGATTGATCTTATCTGCTATATCGTCATCAATAGTGTTGCTTCACTGCACAAATGCACTACTGCTTGACTGTTTCTTGCGTCTCATTAGTAAGAGAAAGTGTATGCACAAGCTGTTGCCATCTTTTAATAAATACCTTGTCTTTAGATTGTACGATATATGAGAAATGATCAAAATCATCCTGTGATAACGTAGATGGATTAGTTTGACTAATATGGCGTCTGAAATTTTAGCCTCAACAATTATCGGACGCCTAACAGACTTGTGAGCTAACTGCAAGTACTAGAAAACCAGGCTGGCTTCAGACCTGGTCGTGGCTGCATCGACCACATCTTCACCATTCGTCAGATTTTAGAACACAGGTTTGCTTCTCGGCGTCCGACAGTGTTTTTTTGTGACTTAAAAGCACCATTTGACTCTGTTGACTAAGAGGTTCTGTGACAGTGTCTGTCATTGGAAGGTGTACCTCTGAAGTGAATGCTATTTACTCGAACACTATCAATACGGCGAACTGTCATGTGATTTTGCAACCTCAAGTTGTGTCCGTCAAGGTTGTCTACTGTCCTCATTTCTGTTTAATTTCATCATAGACCTACTGCTAGAAATAACTTCCTCGTCGACCGTATTTCCGGGCATTGATCTCCTTCCAGGATGTCCGCTTACCGACTTACAATACGCAGATGACATAATCCTGTTTGGTGAAAACGCTGATAAAATACAGAGTCTTTTGGTAGCACCGAGCAACAATGCGTTTCTTCCCCTTTAAATGCAAAGTGTTTCAGGACTGGCCTGCGCCAATGTCTGAACTAAGGATAGTGAGTGAAGTACTCGAACTCATCCATAACTTCACTTATCTTGGAAGTTTGATCAGCTCTAATGGGTTGGTGTCTGGCGAGATCTCTGCACGAGTTCAAAAAGCCCGTTCGACTTTTGCCAGCTTACGTTACGTATGGTGAAGGTGAGATATCCGTCAGTCAATTAAGGGACAAGTATAGCGTGTAGCAGTTCTTTGTGTTCTACTTTACGGCTGCGAAACGTGGTCATCTCATTTCGTTGTACATACATAATTTGCCAAATTGAACTAATATATATGTATGTCCCAGGTTCTACTTTCTTTATGATTAACTGACTGAAGTGAATTATTCTAATTCATTCAAAAAATGTATTAGTGTTATATATTTTTTGTGATTATGTCGTCTGATATACAGTTTTTTTCTATATTAAAGCACTACAGTTGTATATAATATTGTCCATAGTACCCTACTCCATATGATCATTTGTGCTGGTTACATTTCCTAATATCCCTCATCAATATATCCGTTTTTTCTCATCCACTATAAATTATTGAACAATTATGTGTTTTTTTTCCAAATAATAACATCCTCCTTTCCACTACAGACTTCAAGCGCTTCAATCTGATAAATCATCACGTTGTTGGGTATTTCGCGCATGGGGTCGTATTGGTACATCGATTGGTGGCACTAAAATTGAATCGTTTCCTAATGCCACTTCAGCTCGTTCAACATTCAAAGAGATTTATTTTGAAAAAACTGGCAATGAATGGGAGGATCGTAAAAACTTTCGTAAAATGCCACATAAATTCTATGAGTTAGAATTAGATTATAACTCTGTAAGTGAACTGTTATATTTTTTCTTTTTTCTTTTGATTATTAAATGGAAATCAAAGATACGGCCTATAAGGTTGATCACAAGCGGGGTACCATTGTCGCTATTGGCAGTGAGTGGTCGCTTCACTTTTTTGAGGATTGATTGCAGATGAGTCTGTGCTACTGGATACTGACTCAATAGTTCTTACGAGTAAATGTTCGTTGAGTGACCTGAAGGTCCTTGCTTTCTGTTGCTGGAGAGGTTGTGGGAACACTGTTGAGAGTAGTCCCACGCTAGAGCCAAATAGTTTTCCCTAGTTCTCAATGGTACCTTAATGGAGATCAGTCTGTGATGAATACAATCTACAAATTAAACCAATCTCCCGAAAACTACCTCAATCAAAAACATAGTTGTTTTCCTTTAAAAAAACATAAGTACGATGGAATAACAATGGGTTCACGGAGTCGTTGTCACGCTACGAACTCAGCGGCTTACCAAATGTATCTTAATTACTTCTTGAAAGGAACCGGCTAAAGTGCAAATCAATATTTTAAGTCATCGGTCAATGAAATAGAGATTTTTCTACTCCAGTTTTAACACTCATATTATCATGTGGTTGGATCAACCCAGTTAGGCAATCAGTTTTGTTATTGAACTGATCAGCACAAATCATTTAATCAATATTGTTGATCTTAGCTTTGGATTGTTTAATAATGTAGTTGGTAAAGAGTAAAGTATTTGTTCTAAATATGAGTTCTTTACAGTCATAGACCATACTTTATCTAATATTTTGTAGGTCAATAAAGTTTTAAAGGTAAAAATCGTATTTATTGACGATTAATGCAAATGTTTCAATGATCGTATCAAGATCTGCTTAATTATATCACCTCGTAAACCTGAAAGTTTTAAGTTTGGGAGACTGTGAATACACACTATTGAAGAGTCCCAAACCTCTTTAGATATGTTTAAAACGAGATTGGACCTCCATAGTGTTACCAACCACAAGGATTAATATAGGTCGGTAGACCTCCTATCCTTACTACTGAAAACTGGAGATCACTATTTCCATTGATTACTCCTAATAGATTGTAGTATCATCTGCCATTACTTCAGTTGAGTATATATATTTCACTCGCGTATATCATCAGTCTAATTACACCAATATTCTTGAGATGTATGTGTTTGAAACGCTGTTGGAATTGATGTAACCGTTCTACGAAAAACTACGGAAATATAACTAAAGAAAAAAAAGTTAAATTAGAATGAGTCAATATTAATTCCTCTGATTTTTATGAAAAGATCACTTCCAATATGTTTGAAATTGAATGATTTCAATCCTTATCCCTGTCATTACAAAGCATGTTTAACTGAAGCATTCTATGAAAAGAAAGGTTTCTTCTTGAACCTGGATCAACATATTTGTTAAGTATGTCACATGTTAACTGAACTATTGACTTCCCACTTGATTCTAGGTTTCCCCGTAAAATTGAAATATCTGGGATAACGAGGAATAAAAATACTGTCATTATACTGCTTAAAGTATTTGAAATGATAGCGAAAAACTAACTTTTGCCGCTGTTTGCCGCGTTAAACGTATCAAATACTGAAGTTTTTCCTTGTAGGTTGTATATCACAGGAAAGTTGATATTAAAATTGAATGCTAATCCCAAACATTTAATGGTGAAACAACTCTTAACCTAGTGGTACTCTTTTTTTTTCTGGACGAGCTAATCGAACAAAGTTTCTTGGATTTAAACATGTAGTTTACTTATCGAAAGCAATTTTACATTGTAGTAGATATCGATTCCTTTGAAAACCCACACTAAACTCCTTAGCCCCTGTCCTGAATATTTGACCCTGAGTGGAAACAATGTTTGGAGGCTTCTTTCAAATCACTGAATAAATTGCCATTCTTATGCTAATAAAGATTTTATTAATGTAGGGAGGATCTGTAAAGACTAGAATTTTTAGAGTTTTAAGTCACTATCTGATCTTAGCTAGATTACCATTGAAAACCTGGAATCACTGAACTGGTTGGTCGTTTCGTCTTAGTATAGGATCGTGTATGCACACTTCTGGAGAGTCCCTTTTATCACTGACCGTCGTAAAAACAATAAAACCCAACAAAACCGTGATTACGCAAGTCCAGTTCATTGACGAACCTATTCGTAATTCGTATTCTATAAAGACGTTATGCTAAGATTTCATCTATATTACTTACGTTGATGTGAACCTAATCATACACTTTTAATCCATGTGTTTTTGTTTTACAGTCAAAGAAGAATGAAATTCAAACTATCAGTAATATACCATGTAAACTACACCCGGCTCTACAATCGCTCTTAAAATTTATTTGTGATGTTAAATCTATGGAAAAAACAATGGCGGAGTTTGAAGTGAGTTAATTTCTTTGTTGTTAAAGAAAGGAAGGTGATCTATTTCTTCACTGTTATTTTCCTTTACCCGCTAGTTATATCCTAGGGCGCTAATCTATATTACATGCTAAAGTCGTCAATTCGAATTCTGGTCATAATATTCTCTATCTCTCGTCTACTGTTCCGTCTATAACCTATTATCATAGACTTAGACTTGACGAATTCTGCTTCCTATCTAACACATTTAACCTTGAGCCGATGCAAGCTAAGCTCCTATTGGTCTAATATCCACAAGCTTTTTCTCCATTTCCCTACCTAGAGTTCCAGTAGTAGTCAGTGGCCGCCTAATGTTATATCATATTTTAAACACAGGTGGGTTTGTATGCAAATATAAACTGGACCACATCCCCCCATAAATTGCCAAATTACAATCATGGATAGACAAACCAAAAGTGCTAATGAGCAACAACATTTCATGGGTTAAACAAAAACTTACGATAAACGGAATATATATATATATATATATATATATATATATATATATATATATATATATATTAGTCCATCAAATATTTCCAAGGAGCTGATATTTCTTCAGTCTTGGTTCTGATACATCACTGTCTTTCATTGGTTATTTCATTTTTGTGATGAGAACAAGATCAACTGTGTTTAAGCATACAAAACCCTAGATATTTTAGAATTTTAATCGCAATACACTGGCTGTTTTTTGAAGCTCTACTATCCCAAACATGTTGGTTGTAAATATTAGGCTTGAGGACAAAGTTGTATTGCCATTTATACTAGGGTATAGTAACATCTGAGTGTTTTCCACGAACAATCAACATTTCCGCTCATGTTACTTTCCCGAAGACGGAATAGTGTATTGAAAGCCGTTGGTCGTGAAAATACCACACCATTTCTAGCATTTCACCTCAGTGTGGTTGTCTGATCACACTAGTTTAGTGGAACTCCTCGACAATATTCAATATTACTCAGAAAAGAATTTTCAAGTCTTTTGAGAAGTCTAATTTGTTTAAATTATCGTATTTTCGATATTTTCATCAAACATATTTACTTTTTTCTTCCAAATTCATATGTTTTCAGCTTGATCTAAGAAAAATGCCTTTGGGTAAACTGTCTAGTAATCAAATTCATGAAGCTTATGATGTATTGAATTCTCTCAGTAAACTTGTTAGTTCACGTCCTTCTACTAAACAACAATCTCAAACATTGGATCGAACACAAATACTAAGTGAATCTACACGTTTCTATACATTGATCCCGCATGATTTCGGCTTCAAAACACCACCAATGTTAGATAATAAGAAAATTATTACCAAGAAAATACGCATGTTAGAAGATCTGTTAGAAATTGAATTAGCTTATAAAATGCTACAAACTAAAGGAGATTCTAAACGTAATCCATTGGAAGAGCATTATGAACAGTTGCATACTAAATTAGAGGTGAGGTAAAATATTGTTACCTGGATTCTCTTGTTTATTTTACCTGCGTGACCGTGTTATTTAATTATTGATGTTACTAATCGCTTTCTTTTCTGTCTATGTGACCAAAAACTCACTCTTTGACCATTATTATAAACACAATGACTGAAAATTTCAATCTACATTGGTCCTATCAAGACACGAGGATAGCAACGATATACTCTGTGAGTGGGACCCATATGTGGCGGATACGATCTACAGAACTCCACGAAATCCTTTCAACTAGATTATTCGGTGTATATTTGAAGTCAAATTTACGGTAGTTGTACTCACTGCAGCTCATAGAATAATCAATCCATCTTAGGGTTTATATTCAATGATAACTTTATGTTTGTATTGATGAACAGGTCCGTTTTATTTTGGACCTATACATTTTACTGAAAAATAGATGAACCTTGTCATACTCACTGAATTCAATGTAATGATTCCACAAATTAATAAGGTTAATACTTACGTGACCCTGTTATTTGTCCAGTGACTAACTGTGACAAGTAATCTAATGTTAGCATACGTTTAAGAAACACATAGATCATAACTGCTAATGAATACTTTAATATTCACAAACTGGAAGGTTTTAGGTCATTCTGTTTTTTTCAAATTCACCGATAGTCCTATCTTAATAAAAAAAACTGTTCGGCACTCAATCCCAAGGGTGTTTCACAGTGCAATTGACTTACAAATAAAAGTCATTCAGAGGGACAAGCAAAGTGACTTCAAGGTCACATGGTCCATACATCAAAATATTATATTGTCTGTCGTGTTTAGATGATTAACTTAAATTACGAGAACGACATTAAATATATGTTGTGGATGCGCAGGAATAGACCAATAATTATCATGTTAAGTCCAATGGTGTCCTTGGACTTTAAATGGGATTTCCTATTGGTCGATATCTGTTCACTTGTACAAAATGTTGTTTCTATTTTTATGGTACGCTGTGGTATGCTTGACTGGTATATAAACAAAGTATGTTTGAAATATAGTGATTCATATCTCAGAGGTTGTGACTTGTCTTCTGGACTCAACTGGCTGGGTTATACAGGGAAGCAGGACCAATCAGAACCCTAGGTCGTCCTACGTGTTTGTGCGTCTTTGGTCCGATCAACAATTCGCTCCCCCTTAATCCGCAGCATTATTTTTCACAGTCATAACAATATATAACAAGTCAACGTTAAAAATAAAATTTTGGATTCATGGAACATATAAACTAATCGTAGAACATTATTCTATTTTTAAATCCCAATGTTAAACTTGAATCCTAGTACTAACTGTAAATCCGAAACTTTAAAACCCATTCGTAGTAAAAGAAATCATTCATTCATATTTCCTGTTTTTCAATTGGCTTTCTTTTATGATATATGGCAGGGCATAGATTGGATTAAATTATGGTCTATGCAGAGTCACATTAGAGTACTCTGATTGGGCGATTTTTTAACCTAGTCAGCGCTAGCGGATAAATGGGGAAGACTCTAGAACGTTCCTGTCTATAAGTTGTAAATATACTGAGAATATTCTTATGGTAACACCAACTTGGTTAACTTGCTGTTTCGTTTTGAAACACAGTCACGTTCCTGTTAATGTAGTAAAGGTAATGTTTACGTATTAGGAGTGTCGGGCTAGTGTTGTGAGTTAGGGCTATTATGCAAAAAAGCCTAGAACTAAGTGTTAAGAGTAGGCTTAGAGTTTTGATCTGAATTTAAAATTAGGATTTTCATCACAAACTGATGTCAGTCATAATGTAATGCTTTACCATCCTGTTGCTTACAAACATAGGGTTGAGATTTATAAAGTTGGAAAACGAGAATAGAATTTAGTTTCATTTAATACCCCAATTACCCTGATACGGCCGAGTGAGGAGAGTCCGCTCTCCCTCTCGAAATGCTCTCACATGGCCACGCGTATTTAGCCTCTGCCAGGGAAGTCCTACTCACTGCCTTCTCGTGGCAGGAGTGTTTGCGAAATTGACAGGACGAAAAGCAAACCGGGTTGGTGGACACAGAGAATCCACCTAGGAGAGTTGGAAAACCCTGATTTCAAATCAATGGTGTACATGGACTCCATTATCCCGAAAGAACATGGTTTATTAACCAATTATTGGTTACCGGCTATCATGGAACTGCATCTCCTGATGTCGCTCCACTGCCTTATGGATCAGACCTTTAGGTCGAAGGCTCCGGGTGTGGCCTCCTAAGAAAACCACCAGCTTCGGTTCGGGCACCTGGGCAGTACCACAGCCCTCACACAAATCAAATGAGATTTGTGTGGCGCATATGTATTTGATGCCTCCTTGTACCAATATCTGTGTTCAAATAAATAAAAACACTTGACTACGCATCGGATCACATTATGTACGTTAACACGTAATCTACCTTTGAAGTAGATATATTTTTTTCATTTATTTTGAGCAACGTTCTAAATTCACACTTGGGTAGCATAATAGATGTTTTTATTGTTTTCGAACATTCTAAAAATCAATTATTGTCAATTTTCATCTAGTTAATATCAACACACAAGTTACTTAGAATCGATAATCGTATTTCTGTGCTTATGTGGTATAGCAACTTGAACTGATGTACGTACGTACGAAGTTCTACGTTGTTTCTCACTGACTGAACACAAAAGTTACCTATCATTGCACTTAAAAATTTGCACAAAATCCATGAGAATTTATCTTGATTCTGATTGATTAACTCAGGGATGTCAGTATATTATACTTTTACCCTTTTAAATTACATAGACTAGAAATGTTTGACTACAGATGAGCTCTTCATCTAAAGTTAGTTTCTGAGTATATGTGGATAATTTTCCACAATAATGATCCTGTCACATTTGATTGGTTATTGACGCTACTTTGCCAGTTTTTTTTCATTCATCAAACTCCGTTCGCAAATTCGTTCATTTATGATATAATTAAGAAATAAGCAGTTTTACTGAACGTAACACTTGATAAAATCGTACAATAGACACTAAATAATCACTCGATAATCAGGTTGGTACAACTAAACACTTAATTCGGTAGATAGAATGAATAAAGATGACATAACCTACTGGACTCAGCTGTCTAATAACTGTTCAAGGAACCGAATTCAATCAAGCATAAGGCTTACAGGCAGTCATCAAATGGAGCACAAGCGGGAAATCAGCTTTGTACATAAGATAGTCTTATATAATTACTATAACTAGATATATCTATCCCCGCTCAATAACCAACCAATTATCTGCACAGAATAAATGAAATGTGACCAGTAGTGGACGCGCGTTTCGTCCTATGTGGAATGTACCTGCATCCTATAGTTGTTCACTTTGGGTTTTGAACTCAGTACCGTTTGTTTCAATCAGTCCTTGATCACTTTTCACCCTACACACACCACTTTTATTAATCTGTCAAGTTGTACAAGTGACCAGATAAAATTTATTCTTAATTATAGTAATTTTTTTTCAAATAAATAATTGAATGTATGTTTCTTCATTCTTATGCGTAAACATACAGCCTTTAGATAGTAATTGTGAAGATTATAAATTGATTTTGGATTATGTACGTGAGACTCATGGCGCTACACATACACAATATACACTCGAAGTATTAAATATCTTTGAAGTACATCGTGATGGAGAGGATAGTCGTTTTGCCAAGTGTAAAATTGCTCAACATAATAAACAGTTGTTATGGCATGGTTCACGTCAAACAAATTGGATGGGTATATTGTAAGCTTATTTTTTTACTTTTCTTTCGAAAGTTGTTTTTAAATTTTCTAATCTCAGCTATAAAATCATTGAGTCCTTTATTTATTATGTTTAGTTTTTGTTCGCCAAAATAGTTTGTAAATTGAATCTTCAGCTATCATTCATACCATGGCTTCTGTAAAATATGTGCGCTAATTCCAACTCCTGCAACTTAAAATACAAGCAGAACAAACTAAACTTCTTATAACTTATGTCTATCAATTATCATGTGAAAGAACCGTCAGTCAGAATATCGACTTCTGTGACCTTGCCCCTATGCTAAACCAATGACATGTCAGTTTTGAGTCGACTCTGAATCTTTTTTGGTCGGCTGTATAGTAGCCTATCTCTTAGCCCTACCCATGGAGTCCAAAACACAATCTCAGCCTCCATTGGTTAAATAATGTATTTCAGACATACGTAATTTATGTACATACAGACCGGACCGCATCACACCATAAAATGAGGAATAATAATTATTCGAAATCAAGCCAAAATTGGCTATGGGTAGGACAGATTGTAGCTAATAAATTGGGAATAAATTAATAATAATAAATCGTATAGTAGCAGGAGGACCTGATACACTTGACACTAATCACTACCCAGTGATCACTCAATTGTAGATACATCTCAGTCCTGCAGGAGTTCATTCTTGTCCCGGATAACTCAGTGGTAACTCTTCTGACTGTGAAGCTGGATGACAGGGGATGAGTGACGAATAGCACGAAACCTAGGTTCAAGATTTCCTGTCGACTACCTCCAACTACCACTGGGTATGGAGTATCCACCTAGAGGAGATGGAAACATCTGATTCCGAACCATTGGTGCACAAGGGCTTCAGGATCTTGAAGAAACAAATGACATATGAACCTATATTTGGTCACTGGCTGCCGTGTGACCGCATCTCCTAATCGTTTCTTCAAAACCTTGTACATTTTACCTCTAGGTCAAAGGCTCGTTGAATAGCCTCACAGATTTTTCTAACGCTACGTAATTCGGTTTGCATAGCTTAACTTCCATTCCCACTATAAAAGTAGTTCAGACATGAGTAGACTAATTTTTCATTTTACAGTTTACAATTCGAACTGACCTTATTTAAGCAGCCAGTGGAAACCGGAAAGCACTAGATAGTCGTCCCATCCAATTGTAGGACTTCTCAGCAACACACTTCCACAATCCTTCTAGTTATTGAACTCAGAACATACAGGTCTTGTGACAAACATCTAACCATCACGAAAATTATTGGATCGGAGTGTATCTAAACCTTCATCGATTTCTATATTCACCATGTTCTAAAAACTCTCGCACTTACCATTTGTGTTTTCACTTGATGTCCAGATCTCAAGGTTTACGAATTGCACCGCCTGACGCTCCAGTTACTGGTTATATGTTTGGCAAAGGTATTTATTTCGCTGATATTGTCAGTAAATCAGCTAATTACTGTTTTACGACACAATCTCAACCGGAAGGACTCTTACTATTATGTGAAGTTATCCTAGGTGATATGAATGAATGTTTACAAGCGGACGCGAGTGACTTGCCACCAAACTATCATAGTCGTAAAGGTGAGTAGTCCAATACTTTATCTTTTATTCTTTCGATTTCGTTCTCTGGTATTGTTGTCATACTAACTGAAATAACCCACTCATTGAACTGCACTGATGACACTCCCAAATCACACTTGATAGGGAAACTCTGGAAGATATGGAAGATATGTACGTAGACAGCATCACCGACGAACAAGGAGGATCTGATGCAGACGTAAACGCACGGATTGACAAAGCAAGGACAGCATTCCTACAGTTGAAGAATATATGGAACTCGAAGCAACTGTCAACCAATATCAAAGTCAGAATCTTCAATACAAACGTCAAGATAGTTCTACTGTACGGAGCTGAAACGTGGAGAATTACTACAACCATCATCAGCAAAGTACAGTTATCTATAAACAATTGTCTACTTAAGATACTCAAGGTCAGTTGGTTGGATGCCGTCATCAACAACTTAGTGTGGGAGAGAACAAACCAGGTTCCATTTGAAGAGAAAATTAGGAAAAGACAATCGAAATGGATAGGACATACATTACGCAAATTATCAAACTACATCACGAGGCAAGCCCTAACTTGGAATCCTGAAGGGAAAAGAGGAAGACCAAAGAGCACAATGAATCGAGAATTGGAAGCAGACATGAAAAGGATAAATAATACTTGATAACATCAGGAAAGGTTCGCCGATGAAAGAATTCGATGGAGAATTCTGTTTAGCAGCTTACAGTTTATGGGGGTTAACAGGCTTAAGCAATTAATAATAAGTAACTGATGGTATTCACAATCTACCTTCATGTGATTGCTGATTCATCAGATTTATCAAAATAACACTACTAAGGTTGAATCAGACCGGATGAACTCTTGATTTCTTTGAATATTTGGAATATGACTATGTACGAATAATTAACGGTTTTACAATTCATAAAAATTAGTTTTATTTCAGAAAAAATCCCACATTCAAAGTGTTAAACTCAACCACAAGACAATCAGTCAACGATTAGCACATGCACAAAAATCACCAGTTCACATTGTAATATGATTGGACAGTTAGAATATGTATCATCAACCAATAACAAAAGAGCAGCCAGATTACAATTACGATAATGCAATGAGAAGACATAGTTTATCAGAATTATGTGATATATTTGCGCAATACATTTCGAACAATCTGATCACACATATACTTGTTAAGAACATTTATATATGAAAAATTAAAAGGTCGACTAGACAGGTTAAGGGTAAGTCATAACAAAGGAAAAATATTAAAGTACACAAAAACAAATATGATTACCACTCTGGATAGTAAATCAGTACTACCAGGGTAGGTTAAGTGTAAGCACAAATTGTTTTTGAACGCATAAAGGGGGTTTCAGTTTTCGTATAGCCAAGGCTTCAATAAAACCTTAGTATACGTTCTTGAAGGCTTTTGTATAACACTACAAATGCTGACTTGATGTCAACCTTATGACCCGTCTCAATCAAATGTTTCGCAATGGAGGATGATGTCTGTCTATCCTGTGATCTTATTTCACCATTGGAATTCATCTGATTCTGCAATCATTTTGGTATATGTTCACCCACCCTTAATTGCAAATCACGATTGCTCCTCCCTACGTACGTGTTTCCACACATACATGTAAATTGATAGACACAATGGGATGTGACACAATCGTTTTCGTGCTGTTTGGGCTTTTGGTGAAACATAGACCTTGTCTTTTCGATAATGACAAGTTGGGCTGCATAAAATGTCCGGTTGATAGCTAATTTAAGTCTGTTTCAACATGAGACTATTTGTGTCACCTCTGAATGGTAGCGTAATATAAACTCGCTTTTTGGGTGCCAGAAGCGTCATAGGTCTAGTCATATTGCAACCCTTCCAGCGGTTTATAAACTTCAAAGGGTAACCATTATTGATTAAGGTATCAGTCAGGAGCTTCATCTCTACTTCAATAGTATCACTAGTACAAATACGATTTTTTCTATTGAATAAGCTTTTTATTAAACCGCGTTTATAATGAATAGGGCAGTGACTATGAAAATTAAGATATTGTCCTGTCCATGTTGGTTTTCTATATGTAGCACGTTTGATAGAACCATCATCTCTCCTAGTAATCAGGATGTCAAGAAAAGGAAGTTGGTTGTTCTTCTCTTCTTCACATGTAAGAGAAATGTGCTTTTGACTACTATTGAATTCTCCTAGCAAGCGGCTTATGTCTTCAATTTTATCACCTATGATTATTATGTCATTTACATATCGTTTATACAGACCCATCTTTCGAATTGAGTCTCCAACTAAATTTTCCACATATCCCATGAACACATTAGCCAGCAATGGTCCTTGACTGATGCCTTAATCAATAATGGTTACCCTTTGAAGTTCATAAACCGCTGGAAGGGTTGCAATATGACTAGACCTATGACGCTTCTGGCACCCAAAAAGCGAGTTTATATTACGCTACCATTCAGAGGTGACACAAATAGTCTCATGTTGAAACAGACTTAAATTAGCTATCAACCGGACATTTTATGCAGCCCAACTTGTCATTATCGAAAAGACAAGGTCTATGTTTCACCAAAAGCCCAAACAGCACGAAAACGATTGTGTCACATCCCATTGTGTCTATCAATTTACATGTATGTGTGGAAACACGTACGTAGGGAGGAGCAATCGTGATTTGCAATTAAGGGTGGGTGAACATATACCAAAATGATTGCAGAATCAGATGAATTCCAATGGTGAAATAAGATCACAGGATAGACAGACATCATCCTCCATTGCGAAACATTTGATTGAGACGGGTCATAAGGTTGACATCAAGTCAGCATTTGTAGTGTTATACAAAAGCCTTCAAGAACGTATACTAAGGTTTTATTGAAGCCTTGGCTATACGAAAACTGAAACCCCCTTTATGCGTTCAAAAACAATTTGTGCTTACACTTAACCTACCCTGGTAGTACTGATTTACTATCCAGAGTGGTAATCATATTTGTTTTTGTGTACTTTAATATTTTTCCTTTGTTATGACTTACCCTTAACCTGTCTAGTCGACCTTTTAATTTTTCATATATAAATGTTCTTAACAAGTATATGTGTGATCAGATTGTTCGAAATGTATTGCGCAAATATATCACATAATTCTGATAAACTATGTCTTCTCATTGCATTATCGTAATTGTAATCTGGCTGCTCTTTTGTTATTGGTTGATGATACATATTCTAACTGTCCAATCATATTACAATGTGAACTGGTGATTTTTGTGCATGTGCTAATCGTTGACTGATTGTCTTGTGGTTGAGTTTAACACTTTGAATGTGGGATTTTTTCTGAAATAAAACTAATTTTTATGAATTGTAAAACCGTTAATTATTCGTACATAGTCATATTCCAAATATTCAAAGAAATCAAGAGTTCATCCGGTCTGATTCAACCTTAGTAGTGTTATTTTGATAAATCTGATGAATCAGCAATCACATGAAGGTAGATTGTGAATACCATCAGTTACTTATTATTAATTGCTCTTATCACGATTCAACAAAATCTCTAGTGAAGCAGTTATATTAAAATACCCATTTCATATTATAAAGTTACGAAGCGAGTGTCTATTTTCTTTCTATAACCAATCGCGGCTCTCTTTCACCTATTGTCCTTTTCATTCTCATTTATCTAGGCATTGGGTCAGTTACTCCGGATCCGTCGACATTTCACACCAATAAAGATGGTGTTGTTTATCCTATTGGTAAACCGATTGATTCAAATGTAGCAAATACCACTTTGTGTTATAATGAATACATTGTATACCATGTATCACAAGTGAAACAAAAATATTTAGTTCGAGTGAAATTTCATTACAAATGAACAACAAAAACGAAATTGTTTTTTGTTCACAGCTAAAAATTGTCATCTCAATTACTCTATTTCTTATATCAATCGTTTTGCTCATGGTGTGTGTACGTGTCGTTGATTAATCTCGGTGCGTTTATTACATACAATCAATTTTATTATTCTCCGGTGTCTGAATCATTTCGAGTATTCTTTTCATTTATCTTCTGTTGCATTTAAGACTAACAATATTATTATTTTCATTATTATCATCTATAGAGCTTAACATATATACATTCGTATCATTCATTTGAACTCCTGAGATCATTTCACAGAGTCAATAAATCAATCAAATACGTTCATGCTTTTGGTTGTTTCTTTTTTTTTTTATAAAAAAAATTCTTTTTACAAGTACTAGTGTTGAGAGGGGAATAGTTTTGTCGCTCAATGGACTGATTTTAGTGGAGGTACACTCCGTTCTCTATCTGAACTGACGGAGATTTGAACGTTATGATCGTTTGACACTCATTTGTAAAATTTACTGCCGAGGACATCCTTTGGCGAATGTATAGCTGTTAACTTGTGGAAACTAGCTTTTTCATGAAATTCTCCCATTTTCAAACAACAAGAAAAGCATGTTGAGTTTGTGGTGAACACTTTTTTTTTAGTTCCAGGGGTTGAACTTCTACCAGGAGGTTCATTTGTTGACTTAGAATATGCAGATGACATAGTTTTATTTGGTGAAGACGCTGACAAAATGCAGAGTCTTCTGACCACTCTAAGCAACGATGCAAGCATGTTCGGGATGCGATTCTCTCCCCAGAAATGCAAAATGTTGCTTCAGGATTGGGTTACATCGACACCCGAACTAATGATAGGGAGTGAAGTAATTGAGTGTGTCGACCGCTTCACTTATCTTGGAAGTCTCATCAGCCCTTGTGGTCTGGTGTGTGACGAAATCTCAGCACGGATACAGAAGGCTCGACTAGCTTTTGTCAACTTACGTCATTTATGGCGCGGGCGAGATATCCGTCTGTCAACCAAATGACCTGTTTACTGCGCAGCAGTTCGTTCCATCCTACTTTATGGCAGTGAAACATGGCCGGTAAGAGTAGAGGATATCCGTAGGTTACTAGTATTCGATCATAGATGTCTTCGAAACATTGCTCGTATATCATGGGACCATCGAGTAAGTAATGCAGTTGTTAGGAAACAGGTACTAAGTAAGGATGGCAAATCAATTGATGACGTAGTGAAACTTCAGCAGTTGAGATGGCTGGGACACGTGTTACGTATGCCCAACCACCGACTGCCTCGATGTGCTATGTTTTGTTGTATAGGAGTAGATTGGAAGAAAGCTAGAGGCGGCCACACCAAAACATGGCACAAGTCCATGAAGTCACTGACAAGTGGACTGAGTCATGTTGGTAGGTGTAGACTACCTGGTTGGGGATCGCGAGATGATATCAACCGATGGTTAGAGATCCTGAATTACATACCTCAAAATCGTTTGCAATGGCGCAGATGCATCCACTCTTTGTGTTCTCCCAAATTCTAATCTTCAGAATTCTTTATGTCCCTTTTCTTTTGTCTTCCCAAATTTATTTCACTGGATTATACTCCTTAAATAACATCTTCAAACCCTAATTTTTCTGATTACTGCTTATAATTTTCCAACCCCTACCACTACGGGATTTGAATCGACAACTGCATCTCTGTGGTAATGTGGTGTGGCAACTCGAACTGATGTACGTACGTACGAAGTTCTACGTTGTTACTGACTGACTGAGTTCAGTGAGATGATTTAAATGGAGTTGCACTGTCGTAGATTAGTGAATAAAATAATGATCACTAGTGTTCGAATGTAGAGAAGAAGAAGAAGTAGAACATATGCTTATAGTTCGTTTTTCTTTTCTTTCGAGAATTCATCATTCATACTTGATTAATAATTCGTACATGGTACTTGCTAGCTTGAATAAATGGACAAAAGATCGGGATTCAAAATGTTGAGTATCAGTTATAAGTAGACTTTAATGACTTCACAATTAAAAAGTTACTGAAGATGTGAAAATTAGTTGTAATGGGAAAGTATAATTTTCTTTTCACGTTTTCAAAGTGTAATACGACAATACTTTGACTCAATACACTAAATATAGACTGCATCATATTACAGCTGAGTGATAATAGACTAGATATTTATTTTTCCTAGTACAATTTTTTTTCAGTCCACACATAGAAGAAAGTTTACAATGAAACCAGTGTAGAAATCAATGGAAAGGAGTTATTCACAATATTTAGCAAAATTGAGCATTTGTCTTCATTTCCTGCTTAAATCACAATCGCAAGACCATTGAGGGATGTAAACATAACCTTTAGGAAATTCACCAACCTACTTGAATGTGAAGATGGTTATCAATGAATGTATGAAATCACAATCAAAATGTAAAGTTTTCCATTGCAAACGGGCATCAATTCTAACGCCGAAATGCTATTTAAGCATATGGATGAATGAATTTCGAGCCAAAATCCAATACTCGTTTTCTTAATCCTGATTGATTCTTGCTTAGATAATCATCTGTTTTGTTACTTTGAATGATTCAATAAGCTCCTCATCATCATTACAGCTAACCGAATTCAGCTTGTAGAAAATGCTTGTAATACACTTCTCCAGAGATATACACTATGTTCGATAAAGTGACCCAATATACCATTAAAGCAGTTTTGATTTCTTCATTACACACTGAGTTGATCCACATGGTTTGTTTGCAGACTCTGTGTGTGTGTGTGCTATATCCGAACGAAGACTAAAGGTGTGGTACCTCCCACGAACAATTTATGGATGTATTTTAATTTTATAATTACTAAGTAACTAGATTATATATATATTTCATCATAAGCTCCCGATTTACTCATTAACTACTGTTCTTCATCAGTTAACAGTTTGTTATCCACAGTGTCTCTACTCACAGCCATTTTAATCTTGATCATGAATAATTATTATTTTTCGTTTTATGATATGATCTAGTATGTTTTGTATAGACTACGTCCTCTTGGAATGTAATATTCATTCACTGATTTCGGTTACTGGCTGGAGAATTGTGGACCAATAAGGACCTAACTGTTGTCTGTAGGTTATCAGTTGTGGTTGTGTATGTGTAATTGATCAACTCATAGATCTGCGTCAACACCTGAACTAAGGATAGGGAGTGAAGTAGTCGAACGCGTTGACAACTTCACTTATCTTGGAAGTGTGATCAGCCCTAATGGGTTGGTATCGGACGAAATCTCAGCACGGATTCGAAAAGCTCGCTTGGCTTTTGCCAACTTACGTCACCTATGGTGAAGGCGAGATATCCGTCTATCAATAAAAGGACGAGTATACTGCGCGGCAGTCCGTTCTGTTTTAATTTACGGCAGCGAAACATAGCCATTAAGAGTAGAAGACACTCGTAAGCTTCTAGTATTTGACCACAGACGCCCTAGAAATATTGCTGGGATCACCGGTTAAGTAATAGTGAGATTAGACGCAAGGTATTAGGGAATGATGGTAAATCAGTTGATGAGGTTGTTAATCTTCATCGACTGAGATGGTTGGGCCACGTGTTACGTATGCCTGAACACCGATTACCACGACGTGCAATGCTAACCGGTGTTAGAGATGGTTGGAAGAGAATTAGGGGCGGCCAAACCAAAACGTGGCATCAGTGCTTGAAGTCATTAACTTCTAGTCTGAGCTATGTTGATAGATGCAGACTACTTGGTTGGGGTCCGCGTGACTCTCTTAACCAATGTTTGGAGACTCTTGGTGACATGGCTCAGAATCGATCACAATGGCGTAGGTGTATACACTCTCTATCTTCCCTTAAACTAAGAGATTAAAATCGCTTGATATCTTTCTTTCTGCGAACTAATTCTTTCTTCCTGTACTATTTCCTTATTGCAATCTTTCTTTTATATATTACCACCTCTGAATTAACTACTTTTATGAATCCGGTGTCCATCTTGTGTTAATGAGGTATGGCAACTTGGACCGATGCATATATGTGCCTGGTCCTACGTTGTAGCTGACTGACTGACTGACGTATCCATCTAAGTTACTACATTACTACAAAGATACATGAATTTTGAGGTTATAATAATTTTGATAGTGAAAAAACTACGCATTGAGAATATGATTAGAGCAGAATGAATGAATTTCTGAAGTAAGAAGTAAATGGTCATTTTAAAATTCAAGATCTATGAGAAAACAAAAAACTAATATATCTTTGTCGTCGCGGTCAATCCTGATTTATAACACTCGACGCTTTCCGACTAAAACACGATAATCTCATTGACACCTACTATGCATCTACAGATATGGTCAAATTCAATAGTTATCGACTTCACGGTATTATGTCATATTTTCACTTGATTGCTTCCTTTCAATCTAATTCTACGTCAATCAACTCCGTTCGTGGTTACTTATCTTGATGATCTCAATCGTTAAGAGTTCGTACTTTCTCACTAACTGATTTAACATCTTTCCTCCTACACACAACATTACTCAATAATCGGTGATTCTAACATACATTGCAGTGTCCCGATAAGAATAATGAGTGGTAATTTTTGGGATCTATTTATGGACCAATACTGTGCGTATATTTTTTTCGTATAATTGTTAATTAACTAAACTATTCATATTCATCTCCCTCTTATTATGAGCCTTATTTTAACCTATGAACTATTATTATGCGATTTACCATTTTTGAATTATGCCCTGTCTATTAATTATGAGCTCCCACACTCACTGCCACAATTGGCTAATTCTTGTACAAATGTTGTTTCATATTTTATGGTACGATGTGGTCTGTCTGGTTGGTATATAAACCCAGTATGCTTGAAATAAATGATTCATATTGCAGAGGCTGAGATTGGTGTTCTGATTTTAAGTGGCTGGGCTAGGCAGGAAACAGGACCGATAAAGACTATAAACTGTTCGTACGGGTTTTTGTTCGTCATTGATCCGATCCATAATTCACTGCTCCTGATTGATGGATTTGGACCATAACATACATATATAAGAAACTCGCACAAATTCTCACTCGACTGTATCACAACAAGTACTTTATCTAAATAAAATGAATCCTACAAATTTGTGCATTATTTTTCCTTGAAAAAAAAAAAGAAAAATCAAAGTTTTTCTTTATTCAATGATAATCTGAATGATCCTCCCTTTTTTGCACAAAGATATTTTTTATTATTTATATTTGGCACAAAATGTTATTGTCTTTTTATAAAGTGATTTGTATATAAAAGAAGATAGATGAATATATAGGAGTTTACTTATGGGCTACTCCTTTTTTTTTCGGTTCAATATTCAATATGTATATGTATATCGAAGAGGTCTCTATGTATATTAAGAAGAACTGGTTATTCAATTGCTTTTTGTTTGTTTGTAAAAAAAAAATTGATGAAAGATCTTTTTTACAAAATATAATAGTAATACTTTATTATCATTATTACTATTATTACTGATCAATACTGTTGTTTCTTTTATTTACTTCTTTTTCTTCTTTCTCTTTTGCATTCACATACCAATTTCTATTGTTTGCTATATTATCCATTAGAACTTGTACACCTGGATGTAGAAGTTCAGCCATTGTCTCCCATAATGGATAAACTATGTAATCAATGAAACCAATCTAAGATAAAGAAATCGAATGAAAAAGAACGCTTATTAACATATATGTATATATATATATATATACTTGGGCGCCGAGTTGATTTGAAACATTCAAGAGGAAGAATGTATTTATAATGTAAATAGCTACTTTATACATTGTTAGCGTTGATTGAATGACTTATTCAGTATACAGTAAACCGGAGAACCATGTACCGATTTATATTCAATCATTTTAATGTTTAATTATGTTGTCTTGAAAAAAAGTTTGGATCAGATTGTCAGGCGAAACGTTGGATTTACTTCAAATTGTTTCGCTGAGATTTTACAAATACATTCTTCCTCTTTAGTATATATATGGTTGAAGAATATTTAGTATAGTACACATAAATGAGTTGTGGGTTCACTTCGCCTTCAGATTCCACATAGTTTGTGTAAGAATGGGAAATCTTTGATGGATAGATATGTAGTTTTAATTGACTAAGTTGGTTAGGATATGTAATTTATGTATACCTACATCCTGCCTTCTCCGACGCTTGACTTTAGTTGGTGCAGTAATAAGTTAGAAGATGAGATCAGTGACTGTTGAAATGGATCATATTAGTGTGTATAGACTTATGTGGGCAAGGTTCTCATGATTATAGAAATCTATTACAATTCTGTGGATAGATTCACTCTTATTATCGCTAAAGATCTTCAGTTTTAAAATTATCTTATAGATATTTTTTAAATTCTACGAATCATACTGTATATACCTGATGTCTTCTAGTATAATGAATACTGTTAGTGACTTCTACTACCAATCTGTCATTTGTCTTGATAATTTCACTTTCAACTGATGTAAATGTTTACCTAGTTTTGCGTATTTTATGATTGACTGGTGTGCCATGTGGGATAAGTTTAAAAATGTATTAAGACAATTCCGAAGGATTATATTCCACATGTTGAGTCGTGGAAGTTGATTTTTTTTGTGGAAGATTTCAGTGTATTTTGATCAATGTTGAATGAACTAACTATTCCATTTCCCTTTGACATAGGCACCTGAAATCTAATAGAAGTTTGAATGAATAATTTAAATGTCCGATATTTTGACTCGATTCTACATATCATTAATAAAAGATGGATTTTATAATTTGTAAAATGTGCTTTATAGACTTTTTGCATTGGAAGAAGGAGTCAACTTGTATTTATGAGTAAACATTCTCACATATATGAACTTCAGAAAGTGATACATCTTGCTGATTGAACGCTATATTCGGTTCCTAAGCTGTTCTAGTAAATCCTCAGGCTAGAACTACACAGTGACTTGAACACGAGAGAAAAGGTGCAAAATATGCAAGAAACACTTTCCTCCGAAGGTTCATTAATGTACAGAAAATATAGGGTTTTTATAGCATTTTAGATGTCCTTGGGTTTTTGTTGGAGGGATCCAGAAAACTCTTCGAAAAAAGCTAAGAAAGGTTCTTAAAACACTGAGAAGCATCTTATCCAATTTGCATTCACTAGAATTTGGAAAGTCACATTTCGAGTTTCTGATTGGATGATTACTACACTGCTGCAATGCCTAGTAGTATTCTAGAACTTTCGGGAAAAACCAAGGACGTTTAAAATACTATAAGCATCCTATATTTTCTGTACATAGATGAACCTTCGGAGGGAAGTGATTCTTGCCTATTTTGCACCTTTTCTCTCGTGTTCAAGTCTCTGTGTAGATCTAGCCTGGAGATTACTAGAAGAGCTTAGGAACCGAATATAGCGTTCAATTAGTAAGGCTTATCAGTTTTCCCGAAAATTCTAGAATGCTACTAAGCATAATAGCGGTGTAGTAATCATCCAATCAGAAACTCTAAGTATGACTCTCCAACTTCTAGATATTTCTGGCAAAACGTCTAGTGAATGCTAATTGGATAAGATGCTTTTCAGTGTTTTTAGAGCCTTTCTTAGCTTTTATCGAAGAGTTTTCTGGATCTCTCCAACAGAAAGTCCTTGTTTAAATCTCAGGTAAGTGAACTAAACTCGATATGATGCACTATAATAAGTCAAGTGGTTTATGATTATCATCCACTAGCAAAGAGTTGTTTACAATCAAACTCATTTTATTGGTAATGGTAACAATCATGATTTATGGACAATCTTTGAACGTTACCTAAATGGTTTTAAGCGACTTCAATCACTTACTGATAGGTCTATAAATTTGTATGAGAAATTAATGTTTGTGGTTAACAGTTAGCATTTTCCTCACAAACTGACCAGCTGTAATATTAAAGTGTTTCGCTATATAGATGAATGAATTGTCTGTCAAAACCTAATGTTCGCTATTTTAGATCTTATTAGTTATAGTTTTACCAGCCTGTTGATTATTTACAACAAAGGTAGTTTCCATTCAGTGGTTTTGGAGATTGTTAAATTTCATTGAGATTATGAACCGATCTAATTTAGAGCATCATTGAAAACTTCAAAATACTGGTTCAATCTCTATAAGTCCTCACTGGAAATATTCATGTGCCCACTAGTGATAAGATTCGAATTGGAATTTCCGGAGTTCTAGTACGAAGCCGTGACCAATGGAGATATTCCGTGTCGAGGGTGAAGCAGTTACCCACCGAAGACAGTGAAAAATGGTCGTCCATTGTCCTGAAGTGATTGTTTCGTTTGTCTATGATGCATATGTCAGTATCTTTATACAGAATGATCATATATGATTTTGATTTTCTGACTAATTTAATTATTTAGAAAAAAAACAAGTGACCGTATGATGTGTTCGCTGGTCATTCTGGATAACATCTTCAACGCTTACTTTATGTTGTCCAGGATAACAATGTTGGCTTCACAGTTAAGCTACCTAGCTCAGTGAACTCAGCATAATCAAAAGCATCTATCCAGCTGAGCTGGAGATCATTCCCATTGCTTCGTTAGCTAACTTAAAAAAGTCCTTTACAGATTGTGCTTTGCTTTCAGGATAATAAATTGTAGTATCTTGTGCCATGTCAAATGCACATGGGATATTCTAGCTTCCGGACAGACTGATCTATTCATTCTTCTTGAGCCACATTTTGATCTTGTCAATTATTCGCTTATTGACCTTGACTGTTTTCATTTGAGCTTATTTTCGTATTGCTTACCCAACTCATCACATGTCTGTAGCTTATTTTTGTTTGTCACGCTTGGTCAAATCAGTTTGACTGACTCGCCTTCTCCTCCTCGCTTCATTTTCCATTTTACCAACAACACTTAGCATCGCTTCCCGCACATACGCATGTGCTTGAATCTTACTAATTCAACTCTTAATTCGTCTCTGTACTTGCTCGATCGTGCGCTTTAGCTTTTCTGCTTGAATTCGCTTAGTGTGGTCTGCGCTATTAAATAATAAACTGTAGTCCGTGCTTCATGTTGTCTACTGAATTCATACACCGTTGTGATTTATTTTATAATGGTTTTAACTTTTTGATTAATATACGAAGCCTTAGGAAATTATCTGGAAGTTAATACACTATGGAGTCATGATAGTATGAAAACAATATAACTAGCATTCCATAGAAAACCACTGAACTCAACATACTTGGATCAATAAATTGGATATCAGCTCATCGAAATAATTTGAGATTTGGCAGATATAAGCATCACATCAGTACAACAGGATAAAATTAACTAGATAAATATTAAGGTCGTAGATGTAGTGATTATAGTATTACCAGTGATAATAAAAAAATGGTTGAGGTTAAATGTCGACATCGTCAAATGTCAGCTAAGTGGTCTATAGGTTAAGAGCATGCGCACGAGACCGAATGTCTTGTTTTAGATTTTTAAGTGTTGGGGATGTGCACTGCTTAAGAGCCCTATACTAGAAAAAACGATCATCCAGTGTTCTCTATTCTGGCCTCGTCAAATAAGTGTACCTGTATTCAAATGATGATATTCACATTTGGACTTGTACTCGACATCTTTTACTTCAAAAACCTAATACAATTAACAGCTGAATATCAACAACTTGAAATTATAAACTCTTTGACAGTTTAGAAATGAAAAACAAAGATTATCTCTTATATATAACATATACATAGTAGTAAACAACTTACTTGTGTACTATAAATGCATGCAGTTTCTCTATCACACATTGGACTAATTTCAATTCCAAATTGTTTCTCTTGATCACCTTGACGAAACATTTCTTCCATAATTCTTGAAACCCATTCTTGATATATTTTTAATGGTTTTGTTGGATTACTTAAATCAGCTGCATGTATTATACATTCTAATATCTATAAATAATTAGAGAGTAAAAACAATATGCTGAGAAATGTGTTTTATGTGTTTAATGAGTATATGAGCTAAGGTTATACAAACGTCATTTTATCAACTTCGGAATACTCCCCTATTTGGGATAAAATATACTTGTTCTATGTGCAGTTCATCAAAATAACCTAAAAAGTTAGGTTCTTTAGTTGATTATTCAAGATAGTGCATCAGCTGTACGGCCCCCCAATAAAACCACCATGTTTCGGTTTGGGCACCTGGAAAGTATCACAACCCGCAAACAAATCAAGTGGATTGTGTGGCGCATATGTACCCTTTGTACCAATATTTATGTGTTCAAATAAATAAATAAATCTGTCATTTAAAATGGAGATGGCGTTGCAACTTGATCGACTAGAACAGCATGATATTAGTTCAGTAATCAAACTATGTAAAATAGTAAACTTGATGCCTTGTCGAATATGTGAAAATACGCCAAGTGGTTTTGATATATTTATAGTTAATGTCATATGAAAGAAATGACACATTGTGTATTACAATAATAATTTACAATTGATAAGCTTTAAAGTAGTGTGAGTCTGTACTCATATGTGTAGACCATATTTGTCACAGAATGATATTATTTCGAGTACTATTGAAAACCAGGGAGTAATAGAAAGTTGTTTTTTCCTAGAATAGAACTTCTATGTACTATTCAACCTTGTCTCCAAAATGCGATCCAGTCAAGGACCACCAGGTTTCACATAAATGCTTAATTGATAGATTCTCTGAGTTGGGATTTAACAATATTCTTTTAGCTTCAGTCAAGTCGGGATGTAGAGTGAAAGTCATTAATTTCTATTATGAAACCATAGCTAGAGTTCTGACATATCGTGAGTGAATCAGTCGTCATCAATATTGCATGACTGTTTTAAGATATTGTAAAATGATCAAAGTTGAAAGGTTATCAACATCTTTCTCGATATTATCGAGAATTAACGAAGATATATTTATAAATTCGAAAAAAACGAATGGAGTTAGTTAAAAGTTAAGCGAATGGTATAAATCAGGAGTGTCATTCATTCAACCAGGTACAATTTGACTCAGTGTATTTAAAATGTGAACCAATACGGAAATACTTATCTTTCTTTGTATATATTTTCATGAAAATACCTTCATACGAACTCCGCCTGGAGTCCCTCCTGGGGCTGCTGCCCGTCCCAAGCCCAGATAAACGAGGAGGGCTGGGCATAGGGTTAGCGACCCTATCCCGTAGAAAACTAACTCTCTAAAAAAACGCTAACCAGAAAAAAATTATTCAAACCAACCTGCATACGAGCTGAATAACTATCCAAATTGATTACATTGCCTTGAAATGCTTTTTGTTTCTCAACAGTTGTTTTTAAATCAGCCAATAATGACATATGTTTACTCATATCAGTGGATAATACCTTTAAATTAAAACAAAATAGTAGCAAAGCAATGTGAAAGATTTTTAAAATGAATATTCGTAAGTTACTAGTATTCAATTATAGGTGTCTTTGAATCATTGCTCAGATGTTTGGAATCATCGAGTAGGCAATTCTGATGTTAGACGCAGAGTATTACATAAGTAATTGAGAATTGATTGGCTGGGTAGTGAGTCCTTATTGACTGAGATGATTAGAACGTATGTTGCATTTATCTGTCCACTAATCACCTCGACGAGCAACTATTGACGGTACAGGGGTAGGTTGGAAGAATGTTAGCATAAACCACAAACATAGCATCTGTCCATGATGATAGTGACTTTTCCCATTATAATACCATTAAGTAACAGTACCGTTCAGAAACGAAGCAGTTTCTCAACAAACAAGGAGATTAGATGACCGTCTCATTTGATGATTATAAACAAAGAACAATGATTAAAAAGCTGAGTATAGGGATAGTTTAGGGATTGACCAATTAGGATTGGAGAAATAACCTTGCGCGAAGTTCAGAAATGAGTGACTTATCTTATGTTCATTACATGGTAAAACTGACAGCTTTAAAAATATTAAATACTCAATTCTTTCTATGTAGATTGCATATAACAAACAAATCAACCCTAAATATAAGTATTTCGATGAAATCATTTACTTAAGCTATACACATTTGTCTTTATAGTTATATGGAAAATATATATTTCTATAGAAGAATAGAAAGGATTACATCATAAATTGATTCGAGACTATTATTATCAAAAAAGGTTATTCAATAGTCACGAGGTAAATGAAGAATACAAGGCCTCAACATTAGCAATCCATCAAATCAAGCCCAAATTTTGCATGCAAAAGTAATATATACAACTTCTCATCCTTCCTTGGCCTTAATTCTCTTCTGTAGTATATATTAGTCTTGCCTTTTTTGCAGTTATTGTTTTCACAGGTTGAAATCATGAGTCAGTTGAAGCTAGACCACCATTGAAAACCTGGAAGCACTGGACGGCCGTTTCGTCCTGATATGGGACTCCTCAGCAGTGCGCATCCACGATCCCGCACCACACGGGGCTCGAACCCAGGACCTACTGGCTTCGCGCGCGAGCACTTAACCACTAGACCACTGAGCCGGCATCCAACGGTGTTAATGTCTAACTTCAACCAATCCACGAAGTTGCGCCACCGTACACCATTGTCTTCAGTGAGTTGTTATCTCACAACAGACCGGTTGAACTCCACTGGTAACGGCTTCTCACTAGAACTTCAGGAGTTTTTCCTGAAGTCAGTCACTAGTGAGCAGTTGATTATTATTATCAGAATGGGTTTTGTGGAGAATTTTAGAAATTTTCACAGGTTGAAATCATGAGTCAGTTGAAGCTAGACCACCATTGAAAACCTGGAAGCACTGGACGGCCGTTTCGTCCTGATATGGGACTCCTCAGCAGTGCGCATCCACGATCCCGCACCACACGGGGCTCGAACCCAGGACCTACTGGCTTCGCGCGCGAGCACTTAACCACTAGACCACTGAGCCGGCATCCAACGGTGTTAATGTCTAACTTCAACCAATTATATTATGTATGTATTTCTTATCCTACTCATCATATAATTGCAACTCATTTTTGTGTGACTAAAATATTGATTAACGCTTGATTAAATAGAGTTGGCTCATACGCTTTCTTCACCACGCCTCATTTTGCTTCGCTTCTCTCTCTTCTCTTTGCTTCATTCCTCTGATTGTCTGTTCAAATCAATGGTTATACAAAATATATGTATTCGAAATCCCTTCTTGTATCTGACTAATTTAATCGCGTTATTCACTAATGTGAATTAAGTCAATAATTATATACGAGGGATTGACGATATGTATATTTCATTCATACGATCTAATTGGGACATAGATATCGTGCCATTGAAATGGTGCGCCCGTCTGAACTAATTAACTTCAAATTGAAGGGTCCCATAATACTATAAAATTCTAATTGAAATAGCCTTAAAATAAATAAATAACACCGTTGGATGCCGGCTCAGTGGTCTAGTGGTTAAGTGCTCGCGCGCGAAGCCAGTAGGTCCTGGGTTCGAGCCCCGTGTGGTGCGGGATCGTGGATGCGCGCTGCTGAGGAGTCCCATATCAGGACGAAACGGCCGTCCAGTGCTTCCAGGTTTTCAATGGTGGTCTAGCTTCAACTGACTCATGATTTCAACCTGTGAAAATTTCTAAAATTCTCCACAAAACCCATTCTGATAGTTATTGTTTTGTAATTTCAAACTGTAATCTGTTATCATTATCCTCTGGCAATTTTTCATGATTATTATTTAATTAGTATCAGAAGGGGTTTTGTGGATATTATAGTAATTTTAATGGTTGAGATCGCAAGCCAGTTAAAGCTAGACCACCATGGAAAACCTAGATGCCGGCTCAGTGGTCTAGTGGTTAAGCGCTCGCGCGCGAGACTCATAGATCCTGGGTTCGAATTTCTCGAAGCGGAATCGTAGATGCCCATTGCTGAGGAGTTTCACAATAGAACGAATCGCCCGTCCAGTGCTTCCAGGTTTTGAATAATGGTCTAATATCAATCAATTCATAATCTCAATCAAGAACTTTAAAATCTTCACAACCCCATAATGATAAAAATAATTCAATTGAACAAAATATTAGAAATAAAAGAACTACTACTACTACTTACTAAAGCGATTACCATTTTACGAAATAATAATTTTTGTTGATTAGTAAAATATTGTGTAAAATCACATTCTTTCTCTGTATTAATCAATTTAAATGCTACATGTAAATGATGATTTTCCAAGACTGAAATATCATTGTACAATAGAGCTAATTCATGATCTGTGAATCCAGTAGACAAAGATGGTAGAAGGAGTAAGTTTTTTTTTGAAAAAAAAAGGAATAAAATATAAAAATCTAGATTAACACATTAAGTGGGATGATACAAAACATTCAATATAGTTTATAAAGTTTAATTTAAGTATACTTACTAATCAGTCGGGATCAAGAATTATGCTTGAAGTTGTTAGTGCATAAATAGCAAATCAACATGGTAACTATCAGTCATAGTTATTAAAGAGAAATTTAATAAAATAAGCATCGTTTATTACTTATAAGACGTTGGATCACTGAGCAAAACACTCATTTGTGAATGCGAACAATAAATAATTCAAAATATGTTTAAATAAATATGAGATAAAGAGACTTTTCATTGCAATGTTAGTCAGGGGGTTATGTTGGGGAGGTTAAATCCCCAGAACTTACTTAAAAAAGGACCTAATTTTGTAATTTTATTTAGAAAATTTGAATTTCTTTGTTTACGCGCCAAAAGCGCTCTTTTCACCTTCATGTCGTATTTCCCACTTGGGAGAATCTTAAATGCTATTGGTACGTTGTGTCTTTTAGTATGCTATTTTGTGACTCTCTCCGAGGACGGTTTTGTGCTGTATATATACGTTTTGATTTGTGTTTGTTTACGGAATATACTTCTTCATTCCAAGCTTGGACTTCTCTCTCTAGTTAGCGGGGTTGGGACGCATCGAATAGCTAGCTTATTGGTCTTTGATCACTGAGTCTTTGTTCCGTTCGCAGATTAAGTGAACTTGTAACCGCTTCAAAACCTAACAGGTTAGGAATGAGATTGGCTTAGAATTTGTATTTAAGATTGGTAGTAAGATTCATGGTTAAAAGTGGAATTTAGGGCTGGAGTTATAGGTTATGGGATAAATAAATATACTAATTCTAATTTCTAACTCTAAATATCAACTTATATCCAACTCAAGGAAGTTGCATAATCATTTAAAGTCAATATTATATTCGTTGTAATTTTTTGCGTTTTCTGCTATTAAGTAATGATTTGTATTTGCTGTTTTTTGATTGGCTAAGAGGTGTCGAGATCTTATGGTGATTCGCTAATGTGATTTATCTTTACCATTGTTAGAAACAATCATAATTAACTACTTAATGTTATGGAGAATGGGATAATGCTACTAGTTGGAAGCAAACAGCAAGAAGTCGTATTTGATCTAGGCTTTCTGTTAACCGGAATTTGTTAACAACATGTACAAATAATTTTAAGCGAATTGACGCTCTCGGTAAAATCTTAACCCAACGTTAATTAGTGTCACTGAGTGGAAAACACTACTATTGAACAACTCCAACAATAAACCTCAGTCCAGGATTTGTTGTTGATAACCTTAAACTATCGACTGAAGTGACGATATTGATCCGCTAAGACTAATGACCACTCGATGACTTCATGATAAGCAAACGTCTATGATCAATAATTTGCACCTTACGCAAGTCTTCTACTTTCATAGACTATGTTTCACAAACAGAGTAATATAGAGAGGACTGCTGAGGATTGTATTCGTCCTATTGCTTGTAGACGGAACAGATACGACATAAGTTTTTATTAAATAGCTAAGTGTTAAATGCATTTTTCTAACTTACTTGTATTTATAAGGTATTGATTTGTTAAACCAGGATGGTCGATATCATGTATAGCACTAGCAAAGAAAATTGCAAACGTTTCAAGATCACTGAAGATATTCTGAGGAAGTGAATAGAAATAAGCCATAGAAAAAGTTTGTCAGAAAGAGATTGGTTTTACCTCATTGACACATGACATGTGAAAGCTGCCCTTATCTTTAAAGATTGTAAATAAAATTACTGGAGAAATGCTGTGATTATGTAAATTACAATGGTTCATTATCTGTCTAATGGTTAACTAAACAAGATATTACAAATAATCTGGACTTTATCATCAGTCATTACACAACGCATTACGTTTATACGTGCAACTACTAACTGTTTGCATGTATATATTTTGCCATCCAGAAAGTTTAATGTGGACACACGAGTCAAACTCAGTGATCAATGGGCTATTCACGGGTGTCAGCATGCATGTTATTACTCCGGCGTTATAGTCACTGTGGACACGTTCACCATTTACCAACTGTTCGCATGGTCATTAGACTGGTCGCATATCCGTTGGCCAACGTCCACCTCAAGACCTATCATTGGTGATCGTGAGTGGTGACACGGCCACGAGGAGAACCTCGTTCACATACTGCCGGATGTGAAACTTAGTAGGGACATATACACTTACAACACGCTTACCCAAACTGTTATGAGACAGTGATAAGATTGAGAATTGACTACAGATTCGTAATTAACAAAACCAAATGAATAAATGTACAAAACATTAATATACTTATTATTATATGTTTGTCCTTCTGACCCAGACAAGGATTAGTAAGCTGAGATTTTGATACTAGGAATAAAATAGACTTCCTTCAATACTATGTCACTTTTATGACTTCTCACCCATAGTTTGATCTTGAACATGTGAACACAGGCACATAGTATCCCTAGACTCTTCCAACCTAACAGCATGTCACCACCTAAAAGGTAGATAAGTTGTTGAATGAGAAAGAGGCTATAATAATCAATGTTCATTTCGATTCTATAGTAACTTAACCAAAAATGACAACTGTCTACTATTGAATAACTTTCACATTATTCTATTATTGAAAAATATCACCTAACTGTTACCCACATTTTTTGAAATCACTTTTAAATCTCGATTCAGAAAGATTATTTAAGACTTATTGTTTTGCGGAACAGTTTTACGAAGATAACTTTGCAAATCAGTCTTCAAATTGAGTCTATGATCAACAAGATGAGCTTAAACTATTAGAACAGATAGTACCCTTGTTAATTAGATAAAAAAGGTACTGAACAACACACAACTTAAAATTGATTGATCTCTGAGTATTGGCCAATGTCATATTTGTTTGATCCTTTATAGTTTGTTGAATTCTATGGATCAAATTGCATTGCCACCGTTATTCTAAATGGCTAGATATCTAGTGGACAATGCTTTGATATTAAGTAGCTTGAGGTTGTCGGCAGGAAATCCTGAACCAGGGCCTTGTGTCAGATGACACTCATCAGTATTACATGACTCTAGTCGATAGAACTGATGTTCCCTGTGTGATTTGAACCAGAGTCATTCAGGTCCCCAGTCTGAGTGACTAAATTCATAAAGCTAAGGCGAACTGATCGGTTATTTTCTCTATAAGTATAGAAGTCCAACATAGTGTTTATCCACAATGCAAAATCTCAAAAACTGACGGCGAGTGCATTTTTATTTATACAAATTCAAGTTCGTAAACCTATTTATTTGCACACATACTCAATCGTCTCTCAATAAACAATCACCACAGATCCGTACCGAACCGACTGTCAAGATGTAACAAGGATCTCTATGTAATTTTTTTGAAAAACAATATGCAACAGAAACGAGACAAGTGTATTATAGCAACTGATGAAATATTTGCAAGAAAATATTGCCATATCCGATCTATGATCACTTCCAGGAACAATTTATGGATAATTATCAATATATATATAAGATCTAGTAGGTCTGTGTATAGACTACGTCCTCTTGGAATATAATATTCGTTCATTGATTGTGGTTACTTAGTGGAAAATTGTGAACCAATAAGGACTTGTCAGTTGGCCTAAGGTTAATTTTTGTGGTTTTGTATGTATAATTGGTCAACTCATAGATACTAAGTAACATCAATTAGTATTCCAATTGGTGTTTTTCTAATATGTTTTTAGTAAGTGGTCACAAGTTATGACAGATATGAATAAAGTACCAAGTATAACTTACTTTTAAACTATTACATTGAAATAGTTGATAAGTTGCATGCAATACATCTAAAGCATGAATTGAATTATGAAACGGTGCAGTTGAATTGTATCGTGATTCAATTTGTCTTAAACAGTTCAACATTGTCACCGAAGGTATAGACAATTTTTGTAATATATTAGTTTTCTGTAATAAAATAAAGAAAATATAAATAACATTTTGATAAAAATTAACAAACCAATAAAATTTACTGAAAAGAAACAAGAATGAGTTAATAAGGATGTATAATACAACATACAGTATGTAAGCAGGTTGAGACTCATCAATAAGACGTATTTGTAATCTCAAACAGAATTATATTTATCGTTGTTAGACTCGCATCTTTTCATCCAACTCCACAGTCTGAAACTTTAATACTGGATCATTAGAACAAGGTCTTATCACCTACAATATAAATATAGTGGTCGATTAAGTTATATGATATTAATTTCAATAGTTGAGATCGTGATTCAGTTGAAGCTAGATCACCATAGAAAACCTGGAAGCACAAGATGACCGTTTCGTTCTATTGTGGGACTCCTCAGCAGTGCGTATCCACGACGATATCTGGCGGGATTCGAACCCAGGACCTATCAGTCTTGCGTGCGAGCGCTCAACCATTAGACCACTGAGCCGGTCGGTATACAATGGTGTTAATGTCTAGCTTCAGTGGCTCAGTGGTCTAATGGTTAAACGTTTGCACGCGAGACCAACAGTTCCTTTGTTCGAATCTCGAGGGGGACGGGATAGTGGATGTTCACTGTTGAGGATTCCCACAATAGGAAGAAATGGCCGTCTAGTGCTTCCAGGCTTTTTTCCATGGTGGTCTAGCTTTAATTGACTCATGATTTCAATCATTGAAATTTGTAAAATCTCCACAAAACCCCTTCTGATATTATAAGATATTAATTTTATTGGTAAATGATATCTTTTATACAACATATATCTATTGTAACATGAATATCTAAGTAGCTGTGTTATAAAATTAGAATTTATATATTTAATTTCAATTTCAATAAAAATGCTCATATTACATTTAGGATAGATTTATATTTATTTAACCAATTCCATGCTACTGATATCTCATATTTCTAAGTCAATTTAGTCTAGAACGTATTTTCCCATTTGATTTTCATTTACAATTTAGTTCTTTTACTCAAAGATAACATTTCAATTTGAATATCCAGAGAAGAGAATGTGGTTCTTGATAAGTAATTGTCTTATTCTTAGTATAAGTCGAATATTTGACACAATAATTCTGTTTATATAATGATAATATTAACTTTAAAACAATTAGTCCCATTTGATAAATTTCGATAATGTAATAAGAAGACGAAGATTATCAGAACTATGTGATATATTAGCTCAATACATTTCGAACAATCTGATCACACATATACTTGTTAAGAGCATTTGTATATAAAAAAAATAAAAGGTCAAATAGATGTTTTCGAATAGGGTCCAACAACTTTGTTAGCCATTTAGTCAGATTATGTGTAGGTGATCTGCACATTGATAGAATTGGACGTAAAGGAACATTAGGTTTGTGAATTTTAGGTAGTCCATATAAATGAGGGTACTCGGAACCCATAGGTTTTATAAAATTAAATTCCTCTTTATTAATAATATTCATGCGTAGCAATTTTTCTAGGTTTGAATTTACTCTTCTTTCTAGTTTGCTGATACTTCCAAATTCAACATCAGGCATAAATTTACTATCATCACTAAGGATGGATAACATCTTACTTTTATATTCACATTTATTCATGATAACTACGCCTGATTCTTTATCAGGTTTTAACAAGACAATATCAGAGTTTGTTCGTAATTCTTTTATTGATTTAAAATGCTAAGAAGTTAATATGCTTCTCTGCTTCGGTCCAACATCATGAAATTGATGTGCTCTATCCACTAGTTTAGCTTTACACCAGCTTTGATTATTTGAAGACGTAGGGGTTAGAGTACTCAGTTGATCATATAGATTTTCAAACTGGGCATTTATTTCCAATTCAGACATTTGCGTTATAGGGACCGAGAAATTAAAACCAAAAGAAAGTGTTTCCTTTTCATTAGCAGATAATACAATGGAAGATAAATTAGTGACATACTTTTCAGGATTTACTGGGAATAAATTAACTTGATTAGTAGTAATACAATATTAGCATTCAAAAGGTCAGTTTAGTGTTGTTCAAAGGTCGTCCATAAATCATAGTCTCACCTAAAAGTTCCTATTATTTTACTTATTCATTAGAACCACAATTCATTCACAACATTAAAAAAAAATTAAACATTCTGACGGCCTACTATCAACTTCATTACATCTAGTCATCATAAAATAATATTTATTATGAAAGTTTATCTAAGATTTAAAGTTATGAACAATATTTTGACTGAGGTTATTCTCAATGTTCTCAATTTTATTTAATGTATATCACCCAGCAATTTAGGTCAGTTTTCGATTCATTTACTGAGTGAGTATTGTATATTGAAGTCCTGCACCCGGGCAGTATCACAGTCTTCGCACAAATCAAATGAGATTTGTGTGGCGTATATGTATTTGGTAACCCGTTGTAACAATATCTATGTGTTCAAATAAATGAATAAACAAATCTGTATATTAAGGTGGAATTATGATCAAAGCTTCTGAAGTTATCCTCAACACCTTAGTAGAAATTTGTCCAGTGTAACTTAGCCAGATATGCCGGATAAAAGAAATACAAATAGAACAGGGTTCAAAAATGAAATTCTTAATGAAAATTACACCCTAATACATGGCACTAATTCACTAAATCAACAATAAATGGACTGAAAATATTATGTAATACAAAACATGTTTAATAAACATTAGAAAATATGACGAGATTCTAATTTATGGACGACCTTTCAACGAATCTCAAGTAACCTTGAGAAATATGAGCCAATCAGCAAACAGTCAGTATAGAGTAAAAATATGTTATACAAAACCAAGGAAATAAAATGGATACACTTATTATATGTGGTTCAAAAACTTGTCAAAGTTAGAAAGAGCTTCAGAGGTTCTAATATCTTAATACATTCAACAGAGGAAATCATCCATATGGCTACAGAATAGTCGGCCTCTGGAATCATGATAAAGTCTCAAAAACTCTTTCAGCCTCGACCACATAGCTTCAATATTGCTTATGTGCACTCCGGTTGTTGAGTTCACAAAATGCTACTCGTGGATAACGACACGATGAACATAGCCAAGCCTATGTATGAGTCTGTACGCTCTGCAATTATCCGTATATATTGTAGTACCTGTCTGCAGCCAGTGTTACTGGTGCTGTTATTATCCAGTTTGCAATAATTGTCGTAGTTTGCCTTAGTTAGGAATTATATATGGAGTTTTCAACACGAACTGACATCAGCTATAATGCCAGGAATTTATTTGGCCAAATGGATGAAAATCCGAGATTTATTATCTTATACCTGATTGATTCGTCCACAAATTATAGTCTTGCCATTTTATTTGTTATAGCCGCTCAATTATCACGTTTTGTACAAAATTCCCTATGAACCGAACGTACGTTAGCATTAAGCACTGAAGTTGGTGCCGTAACCTTGAAATCTCTAAAGCGATTCTGATTGGCTCGTCCATAAATTAGAGTCTCACCGAAAATATTATGATTAATCTCAGTTCAATAATGTTTATAAACTTATTATAAATACTTACCATAAATAAATAAAAGCCAAGTGTACTTAAAGGATGATGATTAGAAATTTGATCTAATTGAAATAGATCTGGAGCTAAATTTGACTGATTATTTATGATAAACTTTAAAAAAAAACAAAAAAAATAAAGAAAAAATTCTGTGAAAAGTTTCTGTGTGATAGAAACAAAACAAAAATCTTTTTTCTTTTTTTCTTTTTCTTTTTTTTATAAAAAAATGCATTTTTGGACTACAACTCATCATAAGCTCTACGACATATACTTCATCCTATTTATGACTTATCAAACGACTGCGCGTCTGTTCCAGTATTGATGTACACACATTATGACAAAACCGACATCTTGAATTCCACTGACAGCAATGATCTAAACTTTCATAACGAAAATATCAAATTTTCTTTAATTCTACATTGGACGCATGATACTAAATTAATAGATCATTAGACTCAGTTGTTTTATCAACCATCAAGAACTAGACATATTTTAGAATACTAATTTGTTGATATCTGTACAAAGAGGTTAGTAAAGGAACACACAAGATAACTTATGTATATTAAGTTCAGGAGGATAAATCTGTCTTCATTCACTTACTGATCACGACTTAATTTCACCAAACGTATGACAGGTATACTAAGACTTATGATGAAAAGACAATGTCAAGGCAGTTTACTAAAAAAAAATGAACCTATGATTAATCGGTTATTATCCTAGTATGGTGTGTGCTACTGATATCGATAGATATAAGTAGTATATGTCACCAATCGAAAGTGATATATCTGACGGCAGAACGTTAAGAAGATCGAAGGAGAAAGAACGAGAATAGAGAATTATTGACGTGGAAACGAAGGAACAATCAAGTCTGAGACAATTGATTGACATTTTGCAAATAAAGTGTTTACTGCACGGTTCTCAGATTTTAGTAAGATATTCTGTAATAGTGCATTGAAATACATTCAGTTGTCTCTGCCGGTATTCTGGTTCATTATACTGGAACTCGACAGCGAGAAAATGAGGAATTTTTAATATATAGTAAATTTGATTCTTATCATATTTTCAAGAAATCTATTCAGATCATTAAATAAGATTCGAATTCATATCAAATTCTCACTGAAGATCTTATTTTAATTGAAATGATCCATTAGTCATTTATTTAAAAAAATAACTGATTTAAGCAAGACAGAAAAATTCTCATATAAATCCTGCTAGCGGGATCGTGGACATGCATTGCTGAGGCGTCCCAGAATAGGACGAAACGGCCGTCCAGTGCTTCCAGGTTTTCCATGGGTGTCTAACATTAATCGGTTCATGATCTCAATCAAAATTATTTGATTTATGTTATTTATACATTCTCTCAATTTTAAGCTTTCATTTAACTTATGAACTGTTTAAATATAATTTACTATATAAAAACCATCATTAATTATATTCTTATCACTCAGTTGTGTATCACACATTGCTGAGTTATATATAAATTGTCATTTCTTATTTCTGCTACTTTAAGATGATATAATTAAGGTATGTAATGTAATTAGTTTTTGGGTTCTAGAACAATGCAATAAGAGAATGTTATTCAATTTGTTGCCACTGTATCCTATTTGGTCATTGAAAAGGTTATTAATATTTACTTATTATTTAAACACATAAATACTGGTACAAGAAGGCACCAGATAAATATGTGCCACACAAATACCATTTGATATGTGTGAGGGCTGTGATACTTCCCGGGTGCCCAAACTGAAGCAGGTGGTTTTCTTAGGAAGCCACACCTGGAACCTTTGACCTAAAGGTCTGATTTCACAAGGCAGTGGAACAACGTCAGGAGATGCAGTCCCATGGTAGCCGGTAACAAACAATTGGTCTGTACACCATTTGTTCCCTCAGGATCCTGGACCCCATGTACACTATTGGTTTGGAATCAGAGTTTTCCAACTCCCTTAGATGGACTCTCCGTGTCCACCAACCCGGTTAATGCACAGCACATTCGCTTTTCGTTCTGTCAATTTCGTAAACAACACCCCCACTACGAGAAAGCAGTGAGTAGGACTTCCCTGGCAGAGGCTATATACGCGTGGCCATGTCAGAGCATTTCGAGAGGGAGAGTGAACTCTCCCCACTCTTGGCCGTACCAGGGGCACTTGGGTGGATCAATAGCCGTTTGGATATATAATCAGTATTGGTTACCATTTATTTTAATGATTAAAGTGAAGATCATTAGTTAGATTGATGTAAATTTCTCTTCTCATAAGTGAATTCTATCCTTTTGGGATCTTATTTAGTGAGGATATAGTTATGAGTTTTAACATGTAATTTAAAAAGAGTTTTTTGAACTTACATTTTCCACTATTGAATTATCAAAATATTCAATATTTAGTGTCATTAACTTTAATGTAGTAGATATTACATCTGTATCATTGAATTGTGTAGATGAGATAGATCTTAGTTCAGAAATTTGATCAGTTGTAGATTCATTTGTTTCATTAGATTCATCCATTGTTTTTTCATATTTATCATTGAATCGAAGTTTTGATTTTGGACTATTCAAATGAATAGTTTTTTCTGTTGATAGATTATATGATGATGTATTTTTGGAGTTGTTCTCATCATTATTATTATCATCATCATCATCGTTATCTTCATGATTATTGTCAACATCATCATCATCATCATCATCGTCTTCTTCAAGAAATGTTTTACAAATGTATTCACAAACTTGTGATCTACAACTTCTAAATTGTTGTTTACGCTTTTGCATTTGACTTATATTTGACTTATTATTATTATTATTATTACTATCTTGATCATGTAATAGTAGAGAGGAGCTTTTAAAAGCTGAATCATCAAAACGAACATTGTAAGATGTTGTGGTTGATTTTTTGATTGAATCTTTCTTAACAGTTTTATCATTTGATTCATTAAATGAAGCGGCCAACTCTTGACTAAGAAGACTACGTAACTAAATCAATAATAGAAAAAATGTACAAAAACCAAATTTAATATACAATGATTTTTAAATGGGTTGATACATAATCCGTGTCGGGTAGAGACAGGTATCTACTTCAGTAAAATGGAAGATAGTCGCGCAATTTCGTGGATTGTTTGAGGCTAGACATTAACTCCATTGGATGCTGACTGGCACAGTGGTCTGGATGTTAGGCGTTCGCGTGCGAGACTGAAAGCCTTGGGTTCGAATTCCGCGTACAGGGTCGTGGACACGCACTGCTGAGGTGTCTCACAATAGGTCGAAACGGTCTTAAGGTGCTCCTAGGTTTTCAATAGTGGTCTAACATCAATCGGTTCATGATCTCAATCAAAAACATAATTATTGATTGGTTTTTAGTGAAAATATTATTGATTTTAAAGAAATTTATTCACATGTATATTCAAAATATGTTTGTTTACTCAATTAGTTTTCTGTAATTAGGAAAGTATTTCTAAGAGTATTTTGTAGAGGGCGATTCAATTTACAGGTTGTATTTATTACAGATTAATATCAGTTAGTGTAAGATTAAAAACCAGGAAGGATTGGATAATTATTTTGTCCTAGTATGTTACTCCATAGTAGTACACGCATGACTTTACTAGAGCTGGGGTCAAGCACCTTCATTTTTCGTTGAAAATGTTCAACCATCAGAGCTACTATGCCGTGGTACAGTTTCAACTTCAATCAATATACGATATAGTGTGACGATCATCTAATCCGATTTCTGACAACTTTTTGAATCCTGACAATTCTGATCTTCACCAGTCAAGACTTATTATTTTTAATATCTGAAGCACCTTGAAGTAACTCACCAGTAACCTGAATATTACAGTTTATTTGAAGAGGAATTACAGAGATTGATTTGATTTATAGATAGTGTTATCCGCGAAATTTCAGGTACTAGTGATATAAAATCATCCTTGAATTTACGAAGAAGAATGAAACATTTCAAGTAAACTAAGAACAATTAGTGACTACTTTCAAAGTTTTAAAGAAAATTATGAGCCTTAGCGGTTGACTTAAAAATAATGGTATGGCCGCTGATGCATTATACTGACTCGTCCCATACTGGGACAAAGCAGTTATTCAGTGCTCTCCGGTTTCAAATGATGTATAAACTTAGATCCATTTTCGGCGAATGCATTCTACATTTCAAACTATTGTAAAAAATTTTGAAAACTATCAAGAACAGTATAAGCAAAGATGAATAGTGGCTGGCAGTGGAATCCAAGACGCAGGTTTCGCGCTATTTAGTACTCGTTGGCTGGATTTACCTGCATTTCATAGTTGATATTCACTCCGGGACTCGAACCCAGTACCGTTCGTCTCAAAAGCCATCCGATTATCTACTTAGCTACTGAGCCCCGATAGCCACTTGCTTGTGCAATCGAGTGAAGTTTAAATTCACATGGTACTGCAGTCCTATACGTCAATGGGAAGATCCAAGTAAACAATACCAAGTAAATTTATCAAGAACAGTGTCTATGTGGGGAATATTATGACGATGTTGTTATTGGTGTTGACAAAATGTCAAGACGAATAGCGTTTGCAATAAGCATTTAAGAGATGAGTAATAATAATAATAATAATAATAATAATAATAATATGTTGTGCTAATCTCTGTGATCATTATCATTATTCCAATTTCCAAATATTAAACAAAGTTTCTTCAAAAGATTTTAATCAACCTTATCATAAATCGATTAATATTTCCTTAGTAGAATGAATCATCCTCAAAATTACTTCAGTGATATGCTGAGGCGATTTTTAAAGTGAGTATTTTTCGTTCACTCATACATTTATGTAAGGGAAACTCGTGAAATATTTTATTATCAGAAAAGGGTTTTTGCAGATATTATAGTAATTTAGTAGTTTCATTCATGAGTCAATTGAAGCTAGACCACCATGGAAAACTCGGAAGCACTAGACGGAAGTTTGTATCCACGATCTCGCCTCGCCACATTCGAACGCAGGACCTATCAGTCTCGCGCGCGAGCGTTCAACCACTAGACCACTGAGCCGACATCCAACGGTGTCACTGTCTGACTTCAATCAGTCCAGGCGGGATCGTAGATGATCACTGGTGTAAAGTCCCACAACAGAATGAAATGGTAAGTCTTTATATTCACAGGAAATTTGTAACACTTTTGTCTCTCTCTTGGTCTTAATAAATGCTTTTATTTATTATTATTTTTCATACTCTTTCTTCCTTTATTTTTATTCACCCCCTCCCACCCTTTTCTTTTCTCAAATATACGCTTCACGGTCCAATTATCTGAACAATTCTTATTACGTAATCCTATAATTCTTATGAATGCTATGTCAGTGTCTATATTTTTTTCTTATCATCGACCTATTTCCCATTATAAAATGTTAATTTAAGCTTTTATTACTGTTATCACAACTAGTACGCCTGTCATCACACTATCAATTTGTTATATAATATACCTTTGTTGGCCAGGATAATTTTACATTGGTTTTCAGCAGAATCAGGCACCATTCAGACTTTCACGTAACAACCCAAAAAGTACAGCTCAATCCCGTTTAAAAGGAGAGCCAGACACCGCCCAGGCCTATATTTTATAACCCGAGAAGTACAGCTCAATCCCGCTTCATAGAAGAACCAGACACCGTATAGGCTTAATCGCTACAATCTGAATAGTACAGATCAATCTTGTGGTGCAACCACATTGGTAACAAGCACCCTGGTGGACCATTCTCACCATTCATATACATATTCACGTCACATGAATAGTTATTCCGATCAATGATCGTGTGAATCAAGTATGCACAGCACGAACAGGCTAAACTTGACCTATTCCGCTTACATGACAGTCAAACTCATTAATGTTAGCAATGGCGACATGCCTTTTAATGTCCCAATGGCAATGATCTTGAGAACACTGAAAAGCAATCACCAGTATGAATGAAATCGGTTAACCAGCAAAGCAATTTTGTTCATGAACAGTCAGCAAAACTTGCCGAAGTAATGCTGAACCATCCACAATACCGATGGCGAACCTCCAGTCTCATGGGAGACCTTCAGTTCACTAAATCATATACTGCTTTGATTGGTTTAATAATTTTGTATATACATATAAATATTACTGTATATTAGAGCAAAGCCTGATGAGGATCTAATCGAAAACAATATTGTTCTGTTTTATCTATGTTGTTCTAATTCACAATATGAGAATTTTAGAAAATGATAATTCGGATATATTTATTTGAAAAGAATATATTTCATTCATATATCCGTATTTTAATACGATGGGAATCTTCAGCAAATAGAATGTTATCATGAACCAATTATAGACCAGATTGTATAGCGTATGTATAGCGCAAATACATTACATTTTTCAGATCAACTCTGTCTTCTCATTGCCGATGATTAGTTAGAGCCCCTTAAAAATAAAATAAATTGTCAAATCCAGACATTGAATTTATGTATGTAACATGAAATTTGTCGATAATCTGATCGAAATTTGATAATTACTGATTGCCAGCTTCATCTTATTTATCTTAATCTTAAACCGTTCATGAAAGTTTTTCCTTAACCGACAAAAATGGTTTAATATTTAAACCAAGGATATTCAATCGATCATCAAGAAACTTGATTATCTTGAATTTGATCCCTGGAAAAGTTGTAAGTAGTTTAGAACTATGGAAATCTCAAATTAGTTATTCATTCTTGTGTGTTATAACCATTCTCTAATGTAGAATTTATAATCATCAGTAAATTCTAAATAAGAAGGGGTTTTGTGGAGATTGTAATCATTTCAATAGCTGAAATCTTGAGTCAATTGAAGCTAGACCACCATAGAAAACCTGGAAGCACTGGACGGCCGTCTCGTCCTGTTGTGAGACTCCTCAGTAGTGCACATTCACGAAGTTAGACATTAACACCGTTGGATGCCGGCCACCTCAGTGGTCTAATGGTCAAGCGCTCGTGCGCGGGACTGATAGGTCCTGGGATCGAAACTCGCGCGGGGGGGGCGGGATCGTGGATGCACACTACTGAGGAGTCTCACAATCGGACTAAATGATTGTCCTATGTTTTCAGGTTTTTAATCGTTGTCTAGCTTTAATTGACTCGTGATCTCAACTATTGAAATTCTAAATAAGTTGAAAGTACAAAAATTCTCTTACATCATTATCAGATAATATATACATATGAATAACTTACTTTCATCCGTGTTAAACTGCTTACAGAACGTTTACATTGTAAACTATCCAATACTTCCAAACACCAATCAAATTCATTTAATAATTGATTCACATAATGTACATCAAATTGATGTAGACAATCTAATTTTATTTAACAATAAAATAAAAATTATCACAATGAATAGACTTTTAATGGATCCAAGTTTTTGTTATGTGTATGTGTGTGTGTGTGCTTGTGCATATGTATGTGTGGGTAAGTGGAGTAAATGAGTTATCTAGCGGATGATTTATTAAGTAAATTACTTATTTGTAGGTAGTATTCATCACAAACTGATCTCATTCAAGGTACCTTAAGAAATCAAGAAGCATTTAACAGTTGTTTCTGCTATAATATAAGATTCTTCACCAGTGTATACATATGACCATGTCAACAGTACAAACTAGGACATTGAGTTCACGGGATAAATGATAGTTTTTGCAGGAACTTCATGAGAAATAAATTTGTGATGAATATAACTTGCAAAGTAAACTGATCTCCACAAAATCTTTTCAATTAAATTGTTTCATATTGACAAAGTTATTACTGAACACATGCAAAAAGATCATTTCTTAACCTTTCTTAATAATCATTATCCAAAATTAACGAAGGCCACAACATGAGCTCAATAGGTTCCTTAAGTTCTAGAGAAAGAATTCATGACTGTTAGACTTCAGTTATATCAGTATTGAGTCTCCATAAACTGTATTGGATGATTGTCGTACTATATTACGAATTAATGAAAGTTGAAATAGTAGTTTTGGTGGTTAAAATCCTGTGTTCAATCCTTACCATGGTTGTGGCTGTATACTAATAAAGAACCCGATCCTGTGACGAAGCCAAATATTCAGTGGTATATCAGTTGAGATCAATCTGTGTTGAATACAGCCTATAGATTGAAATGAATTAACATAGTTCACTTTCTCACGCAAACACACTAAACTAGTTATTCTTTATCGTTGACCTTGATATGTTTTATTAAGGATCTCCATCGTGAAAATTAGAATAACATATACCACTGAACAGCATTGTTACCAACTAGACTTTTATTAGCATTGACTCTAATATTCATTAATATTTATATGCATATATGAAAATTAGCAAACCAATCAAGGGAGTTTATGAATTAGCGGCAAAAACGAAATAGATTGCATGATCAAACAATCATCATAAGTAAAAAGTACAGATTGATAGTGTGATAACAGGTATATATCTACATGTATCTAGAACTCCAGTTTCCCCTGTCGAGAAAGCTATATCTGACGTAGAATCAGTCAACTCACCCAACGAGTTACTGAACATTTCACTTCGTGATTGAGAAATGGGATGACCAAAACAATACATAGTTTCGTTCTGTCACACATGGCCGATACACGCCATGTAGTAGATGGAAACAAATCATTTTGCCCACGCAGTTCTATATTACCTTGTACATATAGCGAAAGCTATGGGAATTTAAGCTCTTACAACAAGTCCCTGTATTCCTGAGAAATTTCTAAAGCTCTTATCTCTTTGTTGTCTGAATTAGGTTTGACAAACAACTTTACTTATTATTATTATCTTTGGCAGTGAAACCCGACCCTAGGCCTCCTCAAGGCGCTTCCGGACAGTAGGTACAGCCGGACTGATCACCCACTCTGTTGTATCTTCATCAACTCAGGTTCTAACTCGAGGCTCACTTAACCGCACCGAGTCACCTGGTGTGTATGCTTATGTATAAGAATTGCAGAAGACCTCGGGCATTTGCAATCCATGTATGTATGCAAAGGTGTACGTGTGGTGTCGTACAAAGGAAACGTTAGCTGAAATATTGTCTGCCATATGTCTAATAAAATCACTTGCCCAGTCTATCAGATCAGAGACATAATGAGAAGATATGGTAGCAAACACTGGGGTGAGGTGACCAACAACCTCACCTGAGAGAATGCTCTTGCTTATATGTGTCAGGAAGTACTGTGGCGGTAGCTATGTGCTGAATGATATGCATGTAATGTGTAATAAACAGTCTAGTGTGGCGAATATGTTTCCAAGGGAGTGGTGAACATCTACCCTCCCAGGTGGGTGGATATACTATGCTATGGGATGCATCGGATAAAACCTATGTGTTACCGGTGTGCATATAACATATATTTACTCACAGAGTAGGTATACCTGTATATATACCAAGGAATACTCTGATGAAAGTCTGTCTGTTACCTATTATGCATGTAGACTAAACCTATCCAGGGTAAGTAATAACAAAAAATTCTTTACTGGCTTTTATTACGATACCAAGATATACGTAAAGCCCTGCGAGGCCTTGACCCGCACAAAATCCCATCCACATGGTGGGTTTGTGAGCCTTGAAAATACGGAACCCACTCCAGAAGGGCCTATATGACCTTCACCAGAAAAGGCTTTACCAACCGATCCGGCTGGAACACACCGCTGGTATTATTTTCCATAGCCTTAGTTTGTTTATTTTTCTGATCAAGATCAGAAGAGAAACATAAAGTAAATTTACAAACAACGACCACACAATTATGTGTGACAATCAACAGTCAACAGAATAAGATATTAGTCAATTGTGAAGAAATTGTAGTTTCTCACTTATTTTTGAATTACATGCTGATGATGATGTCGTTCAGAAGAACAGTGGGAACTTCACAACCAAACCCTTCAGCTTGCAGACCACGACACCTCCAACATCCTCATCTTGAGTTAAAAATATACTCCATCACCTTAGTTTATTAAACTTAAGGTCAACAAAGCTAAGAAAAATTGTATGAAGTTATTTCGCTTGGCTATCGCTTCTGTAGTCCGACGAATACTGTACAAGATTTATTTTGACAGGCTGGACACTACATTGTGTTAACATTTACGGAATCTAGCTAATATCCCCTAATACATAGGATTGTAGAGATCTATTGAATTTTGTAGGTTCGCATCACAGATTGACCTTAGTTAAATAACCATTGAGAAACTAGAAATCACTGGATAATTGTTTCGTTTTCGTGAAAGACTCCTCATCACTACCTATACACGACCCCATTAGTGATGGAAGCCAGAACACTGAAATCATGCGAAGAGCCATTAATATTTTATTAAATGAAGGCTAAATCATCTTTTCTGGAAATTCAAGGCATCTTTGTTCTTTTCTTTTAAATAAATAAAAAAACAAAAATACCTAAACATGTAACTTACTAACATATTTTTCATCACAACCAACTGACTTCGTGTTAAACATATTAGGATCATGTGGAGAATAAGAGGGAGAGCTGAAATAAAGAAGCAGAATAAAGGAGGTTTGGTTTTGAAACTATTATTGATTTCGTAATATAAGAAATCATCTGGGATGTGTTGATAGCTATTACATAAATTTGGAGCTAATCATCAACATAAACTGATATCAATTGGAAAGTGGATGATTAACAAATGGAATTGAATAGCTAGGATCAGTCAGTAACGTACTCTTATAATCACTTGACTGTTCCACCAGTGAAGCTTTGGATTCAAATCAAATTGGCAAGAAGCATTTGAAGTAGGAATCAATAATTCAAGTTAATAAGGCAGAAATTTTCTACTTTAAATTTTTATTCATCCTGCTACATGTTGGTCAGCACAAGTTCATAGTATATTGTCAACTTAAGTCCGTTTTGATTGTCGTACTAAGATTCCTCAATCATATCATTAATGATCCACATTTCAAGTTCTGTCACTTTGTGAGATCATAGGAGAAAATCGAGTCAAAATCATGACAGTTAAGCCTCAACCACACTGCTGTTAATTGTACTGTTTCCTGAATTGACTAAAAAAAGGGTAATATGAAGTACGGAATTTCGGCATAGTAGTTTGACATAGTCATATGTTCTGCCAATCGTCGAGCATTAGATAAAAAAAGAGTTCATTCATAGACGAACTTCTAAATAGTTATCTGTTGAAGTGGTAACGCTAGATATCCCCAATGAGCCTAACTACCACCTACCCCGGAATCCAATGACAGCTGGAAAAGGAGTAAGTTAGAATAACTCTAAAGACAGCAAATCAAAATATGTAGACCTACATGTAGGACGTACATGAAGAACAGTCTGTAGACTTTAAAGTCGACAAGACAAACTATTAGTTATATGTGAAGAAATTCTTAAAATTCCTGTCTGAAGTACATAGTCCTGATGATAAACATATTGTCCAGTGACAATTTCGCCGTTAAATCATATTACTCAAACAACTCAATTTCAAAAAATGATTCTCTTAAGCTACAAATCTTTACCATCATTGTCTATCATCTATTGAAACTTAGTTTGTATGTCAACTCTAATTATCCATTCTATTTTTCAACTGTGCTTTCTTTTCTCTTGTTCAATCTTGCTTTACTGTTAGTGATATTAAGTTTCCATTTATTTGGTTTTTTTCTTATCTTAGGTAATTTCCTCTTTCATTATGTTAATATAATATACTTGATTGAGATCATAAATTGATCGATATTAGCTCACCATTAAAAGCCTGAAAACACTGAACAGCTATTTCGTCCTAGTATGATAGTGGTCTAGTATCAATCAATTCATGATCTCAATCAAAAACTTAACAATTTCCACAATCTAATACTGTTAATATCATGTAGCTCAATTTGAAATGATAAATATTTTTATCAAATCTTATTTCAGTTATAACCAATTGATCAATTCATCTTAATATTAGAAGGGGTTTTGTGGAGATTTTAGAAATTTCAATGATTGAAATCATAAGTCAATTGAAGCTAGATCACCATGAAAAACCTGGAAGCACTAGACAGCCGTTTTGTTCTAGTATGGGACTCCTCAGCAGTGCGCACCCACGACCCCGCCTCGGGGGATTCGAACACAGAACCTGTCAGTCTCGCGCACGATCGCTTGGCCTTTAGACCACTGAGCTGGCCGGCATTCAACGGTGTTTATGTCTAACTTCAACCAATCCACGAAAATGAGCGACATATTTACCATTGTCTTCAGTCAGTTACTATCTCACAACAGAACCGACTGAACTCTACTGGTCACTACTTCTCACTAGAACTCCAGGATATACCTATTGAAGCCAGTCACTAATGAGCATATGTTGATGAGTATCAGAAGAGGTTTTGTGGATACTATAGTAATTTAATAGTTGAATTCATGAGTCAATTGAAGCTAGACCACCATGGAAAACCCGGAAGCGGTGGACGGCCGTTTCATTCTGTTGTGAGACTACACCAGTGATCATCTACGATCCCGCCTGGATTGATTGAAGTCTGACAGTAACACCATTGAATGTCGGCTCAGTGGTCTAGTGGTTAAACGCTCGCACGCAAGACTGATAGGTCCTGGGTTCGAATATCATGAATGTCGTGGATTCGCACTGCCGTGGAGTTCCATAGTAGGATGAAACGGCCGTACAGTGTGTCCCAGGTTTTCCATGGTTGTCTAGCTCCAATTGACTCATGATTTCAATCAGTGAAATTCATCTTAAAACAAAATCCTATAAACAGTTCACCGTTATTCCTCATTTTTTGGATAATAATAACAAAAAATTAACAACAACAACTCACTTTGAAGTATAATTAGATAAGAAATCTCTTGCACGATTAAGAATAGTTAAAATTTGAGCAAAAGGAGTTATTAATACACTGGGTTCACTAAGAAAAAAAAGAAAAGGAACGAAGAGAATAACAATGAAAGATAGTAGATAATAATCTTATTCATTCAATATATTATTAGTTTAATTTATTTTTGATCATGGTATAATTTACTATATTTTAAAAAGTAGTATTTATTTCTATAATGATATATGTATAAATACCTGTAAAATAAGTATCCAACATATAATATTGATCAATGATTGTTTAGAATAGATCGGTTATTGATCTTAATAAAATTCAGTTATCTCCATAACTTTCATACTGAAAATTTTATTTATTTATTTGGTACGAGGGGGCACCAGATATATATATATGCGCCACACAATAATTGTTGGTCAATCAGCCAGTCAGCTACAACGTAGGATTAGGCATATGCATGTGCATCAGTCCAAGTCGCAATACCGCATTAGCACAGCAAGATGAACACCGGATTCATAGTAGTTAAGTCAATGGTGGTAATATATAAAAGAAAGATTGCATATAAGAATATAGTACAGGAAGAAAGAATTAATACGTAGAAAGAATGATATGAAGCAATTTTAATCTTATAGCGTAAGGTAAGACAGAGAGTGTATACACCTGGACAATAATAATGAGAATGGGAAGAGATAAAGAATGTTAGTTGAGTGTAAAAAGAAAGAACGAATAATAACGACCACAAATTAGTGTATGGTAATGAAGTAATAATAATAGTACTGGGGGAAACAGGAAGGTACAACCAGAAAGAATTCTTTCAGTTAAGGAAGGTACGGTCACTTTTTATAAAGAAAGTAAAAGAGGGTTACAGAAGGATCGCCACTGGCTCCTATTCTGAGCCATATATGATAACGTCTCTAGCCACCGTGTTACACCATCTCTAGGACCCCAACCAGGGAGTCGTGTAGGACCAACAGAAGCCAGTCCTGTGCAGCTTCCTTTCATATCATGACACCATGTCATACATTGATCACCTCTCCGCTTTTTCCAACCAGTCTCAGTGTCGGCAAATAATGCACGATGAGGAATTTTCTGGGACGATACTTGTAGAACTTGTCCGAACCACCAAATTCGGCGTTTCAAGATGGTGACACCAATTGAATTGTCATCGATGTGGAACCTCTTCATTACTAACATGGTGTTGACACTGGATGTCAGTAATCTTTCGGAGACAATGATGATCAAACACAGAGAGTCGTCTAACATCCATACTGAAAAACTAACTTGTTGAGTAGAGTTTGTGGTAAGGGAATATTATGTACTACTGTTATATGATCATGTTCAATGATACTACTTGATTATTTGAAGTAAAATAGGCAAATGAAACGAATGCAAATGATTTGATGGTTTAAAATTCCATTATTTTCAGTAATAAGGTGAAAATAATAGCTTTAATCAGTTTTTTGAATTCCTTTAATTATATCGTGTTTCATCCATGACCACTTCACATTGAAATAATAAGTCCACCAACTTTGTATTGGTTGGAGGTAAGATTTGAACGCCGACTGTATTGTATTCACTACAAAATCATTAAGTCATAAAAATTGCCACACTCCTAAATCTTTAGTGGCCCGAGAATATCTGACTCCGATTTGATCATGTGATTATCGCTGTTGACTTATATATATCTCCAGTCCTCGTATACAATCGATGACTTAGATTGCGTTAGTGAATAACGGAATTAAATAAGTCAAGTACGAGAACCAATTTCGAATACGTGTATTTCATTCAATCGTTGATTCTGACAAGCTATCGGAGAAACGATGTGAAGAAAACAAAGAGAGTCAAGCCAAATAAACGCAGTTTTCGACCATACGATCAAATCGGAGAGAGATCACGGCACAACTAAACTGGCGAACCTTTCTATAACCTCGTCGATAACATCGTCGTCAGACCTAATTGGTGCCAAAACGAAGGGCCATGGAAGTGATTGACTGTTATAACCATAGTGGAATGATCCGTCAAATAGATCAATTAGCAGAATAGACACGAGGACGAAGTATCGATAAAATAATAAGATTTGGGTATGTCCATGTCGCTGCTGTACTGGCTTTGCTGAATGCGTCAGATTAGAGATTGAGTCTTTTTAATTGCTCGTCTACTAAGTCAGTGATGCTGTGAGTTGACTTACATGCCGTCTTCATCGAGCGTCATTTTGCTTCGCTCTCTTCTCTTCGCTTCCTTTGCTTCCTTCCCCTGATTGTCTGTCCAGATCAATAAGTATACGAAATAGACGCATTCAAAACTTCATTCTCGTACTTGATTTATTTAATTCCGTTATTCACTAACATGAGTTAAGCCGATAATTATATGCGAGGACTGGTGACATATATAAGTCGATAACGATAATCACACGATCAAATCGGAGTCAGATATTCCAGGGTCACTAAAAATTTTCTGGATAAGTGCTCACGAACAGTTTTATTGTTCAGAATCACAGCTCACATAAATTTAACAGTAAGAAAACAAATAGATATGCAAATGAGGTATATAAAGGTACATAGCAGATTAGTGATTCACTGACTGTAATTTATGAATAGTTTTTAAAAGAAACAAACAACTAATAATTCAAGAGTTTACAAATAGAGTATAGACAAAAGTATGATGAAATGAGCATCATATTTAGTTAGTCAGTAACAACGTAGAAATTCGCACGTACGTACATCAGTTCGATTTGCCATACCACATTAGTACAGATATACAATTGTCGGTTCATATCCCATAGTGGTAGAGGTAGGAAAAGCATAAGCAGTAATCTGAAACATTAGGCTTTGTACATGTTATTCAAGGAGTATAATACAGTGAAATAAATTTGGAAAGAAAATAAAGGACATGAAGTATTCAGAAGATTAGAATTTGGGAGAACACAAAGAGTGGATGCACCTGCTCACACCATTGCAAACGATTTTGAGCCATGTCATTCAAAGTCTCTAACCAACGCTTGCTATCATCTCGCGGTCCGCAACCAGGTAGTCTACACTTACCAACATGGTTCAGTCCACATGTCAGTGACTTCATGGATTTTTGCCACGTTTTGGTCTGGCCATCCCTAGCTTTCTTCCAACCTACTCCTACACCATCAAATATCGTACGTCGAGGCAGTCGGTGGTTGGGCATAATTGTAACACATGTCTCAACCATCTCAACTGATCAAGTTTCACTACGTCATCAATTGATTTGCCATCCTTACCTAGTACCCGTTTCCTAACCACTCTATTACTTACTCAGTGGTCCCAGGGTATACGATATGTATACTAGTTTATTGATGAAAAGTTATTCAATTCACATTTTTCACTATCTTCTCTCTTTTCCTTTGATTCAATGCATTGAAATAGTTCCTATCTTCCATCAATTAGAAGTTTATTCATAGTATACATAAACGATTTAACTCCTGCAAACTTATTCTATATGTGATTTAGCTAATTCTAAGATCCGATAGTTTGTCTCCAATGAATCATATCGAATTTGACGAGTATACATTACAAAAATAATCAGTATATTATCTATATTACTGTATATTTAGTTTATTTAGTGATTCACATTACTTTTTTAATAAATGGATTATGACTAGTAATAGACTTCCGAAATTATATTTCATCCTATTCTGGATTCATCAAATACGTACACCTGAATCTTAGCGCTGATTTCCATGTTGGAACACGAATCCAATATCTTTCGCTTAAAAAACTAAAGGGTTCTACATTGAGTCACTGTATCTGAGTAGTTACTAATTTGTTTAGTGTCTACAACGTTTATATCATTATTAGGAAGGGTCTGAATTGTTCCATTGTTGATATTCAGGGATAATTCAAATCCCCACTAATAAGTTCATATTTTTTCCAACTATCGATTAAGCACATTACATGAATCTTTTTTCTTGATGATCACGTTGGATATCCAACGAAAGATTTCTTCATTAGTCCAAATAGACATATAAATTCAGCTTATAACCTATAAAGTTAGTTACATTGTAACAGTCATTTAAAGTATATCGCCGGCTTAATGACAACACTTATTAGTTTTAAAAGCACAGACTGACATTAACAAAATAATCAGTGAAAACTAGGACACACTGGACAGTTGTATCATTTTAATATACAACTCCTTGGTAAAGTACACTCACATAAGAAACATTCATTACCAGTTACATTCAGTTATGATCACTCAATATCATGGCTTAACTGGATTGAGAATATGACCTTGAGATTAAACATTTACTGTGAAGTATCAATAGCCAGAACTCAATCCACTATGAAGGCATGGATGTACAGTGAGTAGACAACCATTTAATACCATATACAACTGGACAACTAGTTAACCTTAGCATAAAAATTCTCACTAGTCAAATTCAGCTATGTATAGCTACAAAATTTAACAATATCATCAACTTATTGTGCTAAAATAATCTCACAAATACAATATAATGATAGAAATTTTGATGGAGTTTCGTTCTCTGAGCTGGATGGTTTGGTCGTGGAGCTTCCATGAAATTTATACTGATGATATCGTTCACAAGAACGATGAAAGCTCCATGACCAAATCATCCAGTGCAGAAAACGAAACTCCATCAAAATCATCCATCTAAGCTACAAATCTTCTCTACCATCTCAATGACAGAAATGAATGATATTAATTTCATCAACACTGAAGGGATCATAATTCCTTTTATTTTCCTATTTCATATTATTTATTATTTAAAAAGTCATATACGTTTAGAACTCACTTACTCTTAGTTGATACTATCGTTTTATGTATATTACTAGTATGATGTTAACTTAAATATGACCAATATCGCTTAAATAATGTTTACAATGTATTACATTTTTAAAAAAAAAATAATTCGTTTCCACAAAAGTTCAGTTCATCTTCAACATCATCATCATCATCATCATCATCATCATCGTCGGTGTCATATGACATATTACTTTAAAAGTTAAAGTATTCTATCAATGTACACATACATCTATATATTGATAGAAAAAAAAAATTCGTCGTTTTCTAGAGTAGATTATCATGTGATC